TGTTACAGATCCAGCTTATACAGAATAGGGAAAAAAAATGCTGGACTACTCCTTTATTGATAGTAGGTACAGTCTGTTAAATGCAGATATGCTTGTTTGGTGCAAAAGTAATGGGATGTAATGGGACATCTTAGAAGAGCTCAGTAGAAGAGCATTTTCTGCAGAGTGAATGTAATTGACTCAGTGAAACTGGCCCACTAGGATTGGAGCTCAACACCCCTATTTTCAGGAGGAAGAGATTAGATGTAAGCACTGTGCAAAATACCCCCTAGTATTTGAGTGGGGGGGTCCCATGTTGGCTGGCTGTTAACTCACTCACCATAGCAGCACTGATGCTAGCTTTGAAGGCAACAAAAATTTTGATTTGACAATTCTTCATTTGGAAATGCTCTTTTCTAGTTCAGTGATGCACTTTTCCTCACATTAACTGAGCTCTTATGCATATTTTTTGTCCTAAGTTTGACAAATGAGTAACAATTCACTCTTTCCACCAGGCTCCTGGGACATTGGGCAACTCTTCAGATTTACAAAAATGTTACAGCATACTGTAAAGTCTTTCAGAGGTATCCCAGGCATAGTTACAGTTGCTAGGCTATGCAGGACCAACTGGATGAACTAATTTGCTACAGTGCCACCCTGAGGCAGACCAGTGCTACAGCTCTAGTTAGTTAAGAACTTTAAAGACAGAAACTTGCTGATTGTGGGTGAAGCAGTTAAACAATGACCTTTCCCTGAATTTGTGTCCGAGTGCCTATTTTTCTCTAGGAGACAGCATAACGTCATAAAAAATTGATTTTCAAGGATTCTCCAGAATTTTCATTCTGAGGCACTCAGGGGGTCCAAGAGGTTAACTGGGAGGCCCTGTATCTCCCAGGAACCTCTATATTTCACACACTGAATATGAGACAATCCATTCGGAAGGTCAAAAAGACCTTAGCTGGTCCTGTCCATCCTTCCGCTATGAGAAGACAACTCAGTGCAATGGCTCTGAAATGATGTGTAGCTGTCAAGAAGCTTGTGTTCTCCGAACAATGGACTGACCACCCCAGAGTCCAGACCTCAACAGTGTTGAATATGTTTGTGATTGAATGGAACATGAAAAGTAGAAAATGCAACCAACTTCTAAGACTGAACTTTGGAGAAAAAATAATGGATCGATAAGAGGGGATAAGAAAAATATCCCTGCAGATTTCTTCGAGAAACTGAAAGCGAGTCTCTCGAGAAGAATTGAAGCTGTGATAAAGATAAAAAGTGGATTAAATATTGAAAAATCTGAAATTATAGTATTAGTTAAATGTTTTCTATGCTTTTTTTTCCACTGAATAAATTGAGCATAATTGTTGTTTTCACTGCAAATTTGCACAAATGAAGGGTGGTCTCTAACTTGTGCCCTGGTTCTGGTACAGCTGTCACTAATAAATGAGAATGATCTTGTTTACAATTTGCTGATAGCTTTTTTCTATCACTAGTAACTATTACCAGTCAGATTATTAGAATCGCAGTTAATAATTACAACAGATAATTTAGCACCATATGCACTGATGCAGATATGGTCAGTAGTGGTGGGAACTTCCTTTAAGTCAACTCACTTAAATGCACACTTAAGACTTGAGGTTTGATTAAATTGACCTGTTATAAAACATGAAAAATGTTAAATTATTGGTTATAAGTATCAGCATCGGCCACAAGGTGTTAATTAACAGTTACCGTTACCAAGCCAGACATTCCATACTGGTGCATACTGACAATGAGTGAATGTTAATAACCTCCCTCAAAATAATAAAACAGGTTTTATTAGACTGAAAATGAATAGTCAATAACTCCTCCTGTCACATGTCAATAAGTATGTTTCAATGCACAAACAGTGTACCTCTCTCACGCTGTAATATCCTGCTGTCCTGCACCAATACACAGCGGAATTCTGCACTTGTTTGTTTTGGCCCACGCCCCGCCATCCCAGTGACCCGAGGCCAAAACCGTTGCATATTTCTTTTATTATCACAGATCATCCAACAACATTTCCCATCCAGAACCTCAGAGCTGGTGACGCGACACAGAAAGGACAAAAATAAGGTCTTACAAAAAAGGGGATATAAAAAAAATTAATGTCAGACACACAACATACGCAACAAGTTAAAATAATTCTCAACTCTGATATACAAAATAAAAGTCCATCAGCCACATTTATCTATAACATCCATTTTTCACTCGACTCAGTTTGGTAAGTCAGCTTCTTCTTCTGTGTTTCTTTTTTTTGTTTGTTTCTTTGTTTTTTTCAAAAATATCTTTTTCCCCTTTATTTTTTCTTTATTTTTTTAAATATCAAAAACGTAAAGGAAAATAAAGACTTCATGTTATTTTTTTCTTTCTCGTGGATGGCAGTGTTACAACAATGTCTGGGAAAAACTCTGAGCGGAAACGGTCGCTTTCTTCCTCTTTTTTGTTGCGTAAATAATGCAGAATGAGTTCTCTTATGAAGTGGGCTAACCTTTAAAACAAACCACTTTTATTTTCACTGCCTTTTGTCTGTAAGCATATGACACATTGTCCTCCACAGTTCAAGCAAAAGTGATTCAGTGGCCTAAATCAGTTCAGTTCTGTTCAATACTGTCAGTAACAGTGCTTGGTCAGGCCACTGGACACCTATTGGTCCAGGAAAAAGATTTCTTTTTTCTTTATGGAACTTTTTGCATTCTTTTTTAAAATGTCTTCTTTTCCCTTGACTGTGCTTGTGACGATTCCTTAGGGAAGACGACAGGTTAGTGAGAAATAGAACAGCAATTTCCATAGAATGCTTATTTTGGGTGTCTCTTTTTTTTCTTCAATGAAAATTATTTTCCATACGTATGTATTTTTTGTTAATATCAAATGTATATTTTACCAAACACAGTTAATGTCAATCCCCGCAACCCTTTCCAATATAAAATAAAAACCTAGAGTTTGTGTTTCGGCCTTCCGCTGGTTTGAGAGGGCTTTGTTCTCCTCTTTCTTCTTCCAACAGGTGTCTGTGTGGTGAGGGGTCCAAGCACCAACATATATTAATCCCAAAGTTGCTGTTAGACCTTATAGTCGAAGACTGTCCATTTTGTCCATGGCCAACAAGTGTTCAGAGCCTCGTCATAGTTCCAGGCTTCCATGTGCATGTATGTAACTCCAATACACACATATAGATACAGTTCTGATTCCAAATGGCTTTCATTTGTGCAAACGGACCATGTTCCACCTCCCCCTGCTCCACACATACACCCCTCCTCATGACCCCATTGACTTCATCTACCGCCGTTCTCCTCCTCCTCTCTGGACTAGGAATGGGTGTGGTTATTCAAATTACAGAGCTACCTCAACTCATTTATTATTCGTTTTTTTAATCAGGTGCTCATGTGGTTTGCAGTATAGTGCATTATTTTGCAATTTTAAATAAAAATTTTAACTAAATACATTTTTATTTTAACAGAGCTCTATGCAGAAATACTTTCAACAAAAATATGTTGTGTGACTACTGTAGGTCAATGACATACGAGTAAAACTTATAATAATATATCTATCTAAAAGATACCTTCAAAAGTTTGAACACCCGTGGTCAAATTGAATTTTGTGTTGATTTGTTAACACATCCTCCACAGAGAACACACTTAAGTTTGGCTGTTTCTGTAAATTTTTGTGCATAATTTCTATTTGCTGACTTTAGTATATTGGAAGTATTGTGAAAACATAAAATATAAAATGTAATTTTATAACTTTTACATGGGTCACATTTTTATGTTCTCTTTTTCTCCAATATGTTAAATCCAGCAAACGTTAAAATGCAAACATTAAACACACTTGGAAGAGAATGCTAACTGACAATTTTGTTACTTTGGCTACCATAGTGGTTAGTAATGCAGAAAAGAGAAGGCAGATTTTTCTCTCTTGAACTTTGGACCACAGATGGCTGCGACACAACCAAGGATCCCTTTTGAAGTCTCCTGAAAATAGAGCTGGCAGTACACTTCAAAAGTTGACAACATTTCGAAGCAAAATATTGTCTTTTTGTCCAAAATAGTGCTGTGGTTTGAGCTTGTATGGTTTGGCATTGGCAACTTGCTGAACAGGACTACTAATCACTGCATTGTTTGTTCTGAGACCTCCCCCTAACTCTGATTGGTCCTCATGGTGTCACATGGTTACCCCTTGAGGTTCTTTTTAAGAATACCCACAGCATTTTTGGTGATAGTTCGATTTTGATTTTAGTCCTTTGGTTGTTTAAAGTACAGTACATGGCCAAAAGTATGTGGACATTCCTAATTATTAAGTTTTGGTGTTTTGCAAACGGATGCATAAAATCAAGCACATAGCCATGCAATCACCATAGACAAACATTGTCAGTCGAATGGATCATACCACAGTGACACGGTGACTTTAAACATGGCACTGTCATAGGATGCCACCTTTGCATAGTGCCAACAGGGTTTGAGCTTGACCCCTTGGTACCAGTGAAAAGTTATGTTTATGCGACAGCATACAAAGGCATTTCAGACAATTATATGCTACCATCAGTTTGGGAAAGGCCCATTCCTGTTCCATTATGATTGTGCCCCTGTGCAGAAAGTGGGCTCCATAAAGACATGGCTTGATGAGTTTGGTGTGAACTCCAGTGGCCTCAACCCCACTGAACACATTTGGGATGAATTGCAAGGTCAATTGTGAGCCAGGCCTTCTCTTCAATCAAAATTAATCAATATTAATGCTTGGTTTTTAAATGGGCAAGCTACATGCATCTCATGTAGATGTGTTGTTCAGGTGTCTACATACTTTTGGCCATTTAGTGTACACCTATATTGGGTCTAATGCTAAGCAAAATGATCTCTGTGTATGGAGACTATCCTTCTGTAGGTCAGCTTGTAGGGTGTGAATACACATACGCCTACAAGAAAGATAAATAATAATAAATAAAGATAATAATTCAGGTACAGATCACTTTATATGCTAACTGCACTAAATAAACGAATAATAAAACCTTATGTTGTTAACAGTCAAAATATTTGTTGAGATTTTCAAATATTGTTAAAAATGTATATATTTAAGTGGTAAACAGGGTTATCATGCTCATCCCTGCTCTCAGCAGAGTGAGGATGAGGAGTTAACGAAGGATGGGGTCAAGAGGGGCTAGTCCTGCGCAGCTCTTCTCAAACCAGCGAGGCCTCGGCTAGTCATAACTCTGTTATCTCCAGCGGGCTTTCGGACAGCGTGCCCTTGTTGCGGTGCATGGGTGTGGACTTGGCTGACTCAGTGCGGGCATTGCGCTCAGCGTACAGTCCGCCGTCAGCGTGCAATGCCTCCAGGGATCGGGCCAGGGCCCGCTGGTCGTCCTCTGGCAGGCTGTTGAGGTCAGAGGTCAGCAGGGTGCCTGTGCTGCCATGGACCACGTGCACGCCGTCTGGGCCGCGCAGCTCCACCGGGTGCTTGTGCTTAAATCGAAGTGTTCCTCTTCCTCCTCCTACACCGATTCGCTCATCGTCATCGTCGTCCAGGTCGCTCTGGACCAGCTGACCACAGAAGGAGAATGGATGGAATACAACTATTGAGCAATACAAAGTATCCAACTGCAACCCCTCAGATCAAGAATGTGAAGCTCCAGACGAAGCCCCTGCCTGGGTGAATGTAAACTGCTCTTTCAAAATAAAAGTCATAGTTAGGCTTAAGTACAATGTTAGCTAGTTAGTCATAATGAATAAAGTTTAATGCGCAGTGAATAAACCATTTAGAAGTGTCTAATCTTTACTGAAATATATCCCAGTATGTGTTCCTTAAAAAAGTGCTATCACTTTAGCTAGCTAGATAAAGTAATTAGTTGCTAGCTGACTGACTTCCGCACAAACTGGGGCTTCTCCCACCCAAGCTGAGGCCTAGTCTGTGGAGCTGCAGCGACATGGGAATACACAGCCATATGCAAAAGTTTGGGCACCCCTAGCCAAATTCTGTGTTTTGCTAATTTTCTGGAAATAAGTTAACACATTCTCTACACAGAGCAAATCTCTGCATATTTTAATGCACAATTACTGTTTACTTGCTAAGTTTAACACATTGGGTGAAAAATAAATAAATAAATAAATAAATAAGGCTTGTAAAAAAAACGTTTATGTAAAATAAAACTAATCAAATATATATAAATTGTGCACTAAATTTGCATGTTTAAGTTGTCTATAGAGGACTTATGTTCACTTATGTTGACTACAACAAATCTTGCGTTCAAAAACATTTGCATAGGACTGTATGTGTGAGGGAAAAAAGGGAAATTTTTAAGTACAATTCAGACAGGATTAGTTTTGCATGGGGAGGTGGGGTAATGTCATTTTACCACAGAACGTTTGTAATGGTCATGATAGATTTACACAGGATAAGACATTATTGTAAGTTACAGAGATGAGAGTGGATACCCGATTTACACACATCATATTAAAGAAAAGTTCCATATGTCATACGTTCAGAGGCTCAGAAACAGAAGACATCGCAGAGGATTTTTTGTGCTCAAATGTTTGTCTTTGCTGGCTCAGGAGGCTTAATTGTAATTCTCATTCAATTCTTTAGTATAAATAAGCATTAGACAAAAGGAGTCTGGCTCAGGGAAAAACAATAGTAAATATTATCAGCATCAAAAATAAGAAGGCTCCTAGACTGAGAAATGGTTGTCTTAGTTCAGTACAATGTGGGACTTGAGAAGTTTCTTTCCAATGGGATGTTTAAACATTTAATATAATGGCAACTTTATTTACCCTAATCATCAAGGTAGCTGCCTTAAGTGAATTAATATTGTGTCATTAACATTATTGTTGGAATTTACTGTCGGCAGTCAATAAATAAAATCCAACTTTTTTGCACAAGTTGCACACGAGGTGGAACTGTATCGGCTTGATTTGGGCCTCAGAGAATACAAGTAAATGCTTCTATGAGTAGCTCTGTACTTGAAAACAATTTCTCCGCAGGATATGAGGGAATATTCAGAGACATGGCCATTTGCACACGATATAACTTAACAAGTTATTTTATAGTAGGTAAAAGCCACCACATAAGTCTATAAAAATGACTGACGTGGTGAATTAGGACTAAAATCACTGAGAAACACCAGTAATAATAACATTACCCCACCATGCCATGTAAAAGTACTTCTGTCCAAATAGCACCTAACAGTGTTCAGACATTCATTTCTTCATCTTTGCAAACCAGTCACAAGAACAGACAGCCACATATCTGTGAAGCAAAAAGGAGAAAAAAGTGACCACACAAGACCTCCAACAGGAAACTTCTAGTAGAGTGGAGTGAAACTGCAAGGTGTTAGCAAAAATTGCAGAAGACAACAGGCCGATGTCCCAGACACACACTAAAAGAGGTGCTTTTAAAAGCTAGGGAAAATGCTTAACTCATGTCTGGGAAATCTGTCTTTTAAGTATAGTTTAAAAGAACACTTCAGAGCTAGAGTGAGGGTCTTCCAAAGAAAGACCCGTGAGAGCGGAGGTCCTCTAGCCAGCAGAGAGGAAGAAGAGCTAAAGCAGGGTCCAGCCACGCCTCCCACCTCTGTGATTGATGACTGGTCCTGACTGGTTGACTTGGTAACCAGACGGGCGGCGAACAGCTTTTTGAGCCTCAGATAATCGTCCAGTACCACCTTTAGCAGTGAGCCCTGATCAGATAGCAGGATTGGTTATTTGATGTGGTGGTGAAATGCCCATCAGTTCAGGGCTAGATCTGATATTACTGGCCATTCAGCTCCATGGCCACGAAGATGTGTTCAATAGACTTTGTCCATGCTAAAACGGATATATTTGAAAAAGTTTTTCTCATGTCTTTCTCATGTCTTTGGATTAAAACATGGAATGTTTTAATCCAAAACAGTGCTTGTAAATGTACCCGTATTAGTGTGGACAAGGCTTGTATGCTATACATTGCTTATCATGAATCTGCTGCTTACTATAAGAACTCACCTTAATGGGTCCCTCCCGCATGATCTGGCCTAGCTTGGCGATGTTATCATACTCCTGAATGGCAGCTCTGAGGTAGCGGTCATCCTCTGGTTTAGAGGCGTGAGGCTCGCGGCCGAAAGTGCCCTGTAGATTGTAATTAAAACATTTATTTTTCTAATGATTTTATGTGAATCTCTTCAACAGGCTTATTTGAGATGTGCAGTTGGTTTAGTGGAAGAAACTAAAAGAGAAGAAGTAACAACTGAAGGTAACAGTCTGTGCTTGTTTTTCTGATTTGATCAGAAGTGTTGTTGAGGAGCTGGATGCAAGAGTGACCACTCAGTGCAAAGCAGAAGTGTGTGGTGTGCAGCTGTGTTTGTGTGCGTGACTGACGTGAGTGCGAGCCGGACTGTTCCACAGATCAGTGATGTCACTCAGATTCTCAGGCAAATCGTCTTCATGCTCAGCCTGAGCAGCCAGCTCCAGGTTTCTGCAGAATGGGTCCAGCCAAACAGGATTGGCTCTATACACACACACACACACACACACACACACAAATACAAAATTAAGTACTTATTACGGATCATGATTCATTCATTAGGCAGATTTCCATCTGGGGGATATAATGTAAAAACATTTTAACACTGCTATATACAGTGATAAGAAAATTATTAAATATTTTTAATTGAAATTCTTTTTTATTATTTGTTTTATTTCATTTATTTAATTCATCAAAACAGCCATTAAGTACAAGTTATTCAGCTTCAGAAAAACATGTATTTAACAGAAAATTACATAGAAGCCTCAACAACTAAATATAATGTCACATTTTTTAGTATTTAGCGTGTCCATATTTGGCCTTTCTTACAGCTTCTGTTCTTTTCAGGAGACTTGCTTTCAGTTTTTAAAAAGAAATCTGCAGTGATATTTTTCCACACTTGCAAAGTTCAGTGTTAGAAGTTGGTTGAATTTTCTTCTTTTTACAGTCCAAATAATAGGAATCAGGCCATAACACTTACTCCATACCAATTTTAGGCTACCGGACACAAATATTTGGTAGGCCCCTACCTACCCAGCCACCCAGCCAACCAGCCAACCACCCAGCCATCCACCCACCTACCTACCTTCCTACTTACCTATTTATTTGTCAAGAACTTTTAAGTTATTCTCAGAAATCTGTATAGTTTGGTGCGTGTGATATGAAAAGCTAAAATAAGATATAAGTGGTTCTAGACACAAAGCTCTTAAATTCAGTATTCAAATGTTAAATAACTATGATAGCTTAATGTTAAGTTCCCACTGTGAGTCAGGACAGCTGTTTAAATTTGGTCATATTTGCTTGCTTGGGGACCCAAGTGGATTGTGCCCCTCGGCACGAGCCTGTAAAACCCATGGGATGATCCAGGCCTGTCCACATCACAGCTGTCCAGTTTCAGCATTCTAGTGCACAGCTTCTTTTTTGTCTACTTCCTGTTCTAAGTGTGGTCTCTGACTTTTGCACAGTAATGTAACGATTACAATATATAATAATAGTATGTTCTGCCCATTTGTCACCCTTAAGAGCAGGCCATAGAAGTCACAGAGGTCAAACAAATAAAAGGTGTGAACAATTTGTGATGCACATGATTATTTTTGATAGGAAAGTGTCAAACAAATCCTTTTAAAGGGAATTTTAAGCAAACTTTTTTAAGCAAAAAGCACTTTATCCTTTTTCTGTCAAGAACATACATCATTATGTAAGCTTTACTACTGCTATAAATCACAGACCCACCAGGATTTTGTGGCCACTTTTTGGGGCTGCTGCAGACTAAAATGCTTGATTGCAAAGCAGCATTGCTCAAAAAGTGTTTTATATATCAAAAAGAGTCTAATATAAAATGACTAAAATATAACACTGTTTTAAAGTCTCAAAAAACAGACAGATTATCCACATATGCACTCTGCCAACTAAACATAAATACACCTAAATACATCAATCTTAGGAATAGTCAGGAAATCTGAGAAAATGTATTAAGTTAAAGAACTAAGAGCATCCAGTAGTGCTGCGAATCTATGATACTACTATGATACTATTACTATAATACTATGAACCCAGCAGCTAAGGTGAAAACAACACAGAAGAGTGTTCACACAGACTGGCAGATAAACAATCAGAATAGAACTGACAAAATCACCAGTTGTGGCCAGATTAGCTCAGATATCAGACACTCTGTCTACGTGTGGGCGGAGAGGCAGAGACTGGGTTTACCAGAAGGTAGCATAGAAGCTACAAGCTTCATTTTGAAAGCACATCACAGATTTACATGTTTAGTGCAGAAATAAAGCAGTGACTGGACAAAACTGTGAGCACTGGCTGATACTGTGAGGACTGGTTTAATTGCATGAATTCCCATGCCTGCAAGATCCCAAATTCCTGGAGGGTCTGAAATCACTTTGATGGAAATGGTCAGCCTGCAGCAAAATTCACAGAAAATGTTTAATGCAATTAAAGCATCATGGCAAAAGCAGCCTACTACTACTGTACCGAAACAGACCTAGCCATGCTTTTTGCCATTTTGTCGTGATAAGATTTTATCAAAAAGAACATCATAGTGCAAAAAACAAATGTGAAAACATATCAAATCTTGTCAATATGTTGTTGTTGCAATAATACAGAAAGATTATTTATCCTATTTCTATATGTTTGTTACTTGTTTTAAGTCATTTTATCTATTGAACCTTTTTTTTTAAGAAATGCTTGAGGAAAGCTACTATTTGTAATTATAAGGCAAAATTATAAGGCAATTTCCATAGATAAAGTATGTTAAAAACAAACAAAAATGTCTCAAAATAAGTTGAATCATATAATATTCTTATTAAAATCTCAAAATGAGAAATATCACATATACTGATTAGATATAGGATTATTTTGCTTGCCAAGAATTGCTCAAGTCAGTACTTTACTGGCTTTTGTTATGTCGTAATACTGATATTTATTGATCTCTAAGGAGGTCATTAAAGAGGAATTATAAATTTTCCAAATTTCTGCATAACTCATTCACTGAGATCTAACTAATGTCATTCATAGTGGTTTAATATGAATTGGTTTATAACAGAGAAACTTACCAACTCAGATTTCTTTACAGTGGTGGTGACAGGGACCAGGGGTCACAATGCTACACAAACAAATGCTACATTGCCATTTATTTACCATCCAAAATGACTACATGAATCTTCTGAGTTTTCTTTGGGCACTATTTTGCCTCACAATGCCTTGCATGTATCAGTCCAGCAAGAATGGCTTTAATTTAGGCCAAAACCTGATCTTAAAACTGCTGAAAAACATCTTTCATGCAAAATGCAACATATTAATAACCAGTTCATGCAATAGCTTCCTGTGAAGTAACTTTTGGAGGTATTAAATGCTTCAGATGTCTGGTTCCTATCACCACCACTGTGAACAATTTTGATTCAGCAAGTTTTGCTTTAATCAAGCATTTTACATCAAACCACTCTGAATGACTTTGTTTGCATCTTAACTATTTAATTCTGCAACAATTTTGAAAAACTGGTGGAATTCCTTCTTAAATCATCCAACCAGCCTAGCTGAGAAGACTTAGGCAGTTTGTATAGTTGGGGGAACAGAAAAAAGGATAATAAGTTATTCTAGGATTTGAGTCACTTCAGTTCTGCCAGTGTGTCATAACTGGGAAAATCCATGACTCCATAGTCAAGCAGCAAAGCTCCTGTGCATGCACGCTATCTGCACCCCTTCATTATTTATACAGAAGACTTAGTAGATAAGATTCTCACTGACGCTGCTTCCCAGCGACCTCTATTTTTAGACACCAACGACCACTAATTTGAAAATGTTTTTGAAAGAATAAGATATTTCCATTTGTGCGTGTTTTTCCACACAAACTTTTATCTCGCTGATTTATCTGTTTGTTTATGTGGAAGGCTTATCGCTTCTATTGACTTGTCGCTGGCTCACCCTTCAAACGAATACTTGTTGGTGTTGGGCATATCCAGGATGTCCATCAGTCCCTGGTTGCCTGGACAGCAGGCAGAGAGAGAACAAACGGAGCTTGTTAAGCTCACAGAACACAACAACAAACAAACATAAAGCCGTGCTTGTAAGAGTTCCTGGTGTAGACCGTGGCACGCTCTATACTTCCTCTACTGTGATGTTCTCACCTGTGGAGCCAGCGACGATGGCCTTCAGCTTCCTCTTGTGTCTGTTTGAAAGCACACAGATAAATAACTAGCAGGTGACGACTTGAGTGGCACGACAGCATTTCAACAATCTCTCAGTTATGTGTTTCAAACTGTACTTCACCCTCAATTTCAGTTAAAATGAATGCTATGTAAGTTATTTCTTAACCTCAAACTTGAATGTGCAACTGAATTTTAACTACATCACTTACACATACAGTCAAACTCAAAAGTTTGATCCAATTACACGTATTGTTGAAAATGAGGAAAACAGCATTATAGTTCTTTAATCAGCATAATTCTTTAATTAGGTGCATGGCACATGGATAAAAGGTTAATCATTCAAGTTGTGGCAATTATTGATGACCAAGTAAGTATTATTTAATAACTAACTATCATTAACGATTTGTTAATAAAGCAATAAGCCGTGAGAGGCCGTGTGTTACTGCGAATTTAGCATGGAAAGGGTCTTCTTAGGCATGACATGAAGCGGAGTAAAAATCCCTTCCCTGTGACAAAATTGCAGTAAGCTTCAAGTGGCTTATCGCTTTTATAAAACGCCGACCATAAAATATAAAATATAAAAAAATACAAAATTTTTCAGAAAATAATTTATTATTAATAATAACTGACATAAGGTATTTTGGTAGTTGCTTTAAAGTATGGTATCATTCCCAAGCAACTATGGACCACTGAATGAGGAGAAGGTTCGGTCGCTCATCGCTGTATATTGCAGTCATTTCATGATTTTTAAAAACCTTTTGTCGTATAACAATGAAAATATGATAACACAGCACTGTTTAATGCAAAAACTTTCACTTTACGAGTACTTTTTGATCACCAAATTACCACCGCGAGTCTTATTTAGCACCCTCTTCTTGTGCTGGGGATGAATCTCAAATGGCTCCCTGCTCCCTACATAGTGCACTACGTAGGAATTTAAATACTGGATCCTGCAGCCCAACAGTGCAAAATATAGCTATAAGAAATAATTTGGGACTCAGCCACATTCATACTTGATAAATGATGCACTATTTGGCTGTAGAGGCTAGAATTTCTAAACTTTCATAGCTAGCACACTATTTATGGAGTATGGAGCCGTTTGGGATTCAGCCTGGGTTTGACGCAACTTCTGTTATGAAACATAAACATCTGAATTGTGTAATCCATTCAAGTGACATATTTTAGACTTTTATACTGCGAACATGTGTGTGTACATCATGGATTTTACAACGGCTTCGAACGCAGCTCAGCCAATCAGATTTTAGGACCAGAACTATCTGTTTTATAAATAATGATTAAGTTGCTCTTTATAGAAGCCTGTTTTTATACAGTGTTACCCAAAAAGCTTACAGATTAAACCTGCTGTTCAAGAAACTGATTAAAAATTTTATAATTTCAAGTGAAACTACATTTGTTGTGCAGTGTAATGAACTATGAAACAGATGTAAGACACACATAAGGTTTTAAAAATTACTTACACTGTTCGGTAGTACCAGTTCATAAAGATGAACAGCATGGCTGCCAGAAACAGCAGCACAGCCAGGATTATTATAGCCATCTACACACAGAGAGAGAGAGAGAGATAGTAAGATAGTGAGAGAGTGAGAGAGAGAGACAGAGAGAGAGAGAGAGAGAGAGAGAGAGAGAGAGAGAGTGAGAGAGAGAGAGAGAGAGAGAGAGAGAGAGAGCATAAAAATCACATACAGCAAACAGATCATTCTACCAAACTGGTTCAAAGTCAGAGCAGAAAACAAATTTCATTTTGACTAAAATTCTCTTGTGTTGAATCACCCTATACCTTATTTATGTGTATTTTATTTAAATAAATTGAACATTCCATTTTTCACTACCTAAACAATCTTTAAACTTTACCGAATTTCAGTAGTGTCAGTAGTGACTGCTTCGGTAGTGACAATTTTAGCTAATGTTGAGCAGAACTTCAAAACGCTAGCCAGTATATCGGTTATAACGGTTGTACATACATAAAATAATACAATTTTTCATTAAAAAACAAAAATATTTACTTAATTGTTTCAGTAGTGACAGTTCTTAATGTTATACACTGATTTTCAGACTTTAGGACACATTTACTTCAAAACAATGGAATCTAACCACACACATACATAAACCACACACTCACTTGTAGGGTAGTGAGGTCATCAGGGGCTCGTGCACTCACTGCAGGCTGGACATCCAGCACGTTATAGTTCCTGAACAGATTTCTCAGCTGTTCCTTATTCTCATCAATCATCTGAATCACCCTGCCAAAGTGTCAAACAGACCGTTAGTCAGCATAGCCTATTGATTGAGACTTTTAATAGCCTATTGATTGAGGCATTTCATTTGTATACATGTATAAATGTCCTACTGCTTATAAAAAAATTGGGGTCATGTAGGAAACTGGGAATGATGGAATTACAGCCAGTCATTACATACAATAATTCAGAGCCCTATTTTTAGCTTGTGCACACTCTAAAAAAAGTTGTCACTAATGGTCAGCATTCCATTCTTTTCAATTCATTTAAATGGAAGATTTATGTAGATGAAGTAGATAACACAACCAGATAAAACACATAAGGCTAATGGTTCTTCAATCCTGGTAGGAATACTACAAGATTGCTAACGTTATGTTAAGCTATGACTGCATACTGGATAAAAATGTCTGCTAAATAATCAAAATATTTACATGGAATAGTGTAAATAATGCACTTGATTAAAAAGCAGTAATTAAAGCTACATTATTTAAGATTTGGGGATTTGGAGAGGAACATTCTGCAATGTCGGCTGTGCCTTCACACAATCTGAGGACAGCAAGCGTGTTGAAGAAGTATTCAAAGAGAACTCAGAACTCGGTGAAGGACGTGTCTTCTAAGGATGTAAGTGAATTATCTACTGTTGTCATCATAACCTCATTAGTATAATGCTGATTTTGCATTTGATACCTAAACATCAAGCCAGACCTACTTTCTGGGCCTGTGTGTGCGATATTAATACATAAAGACATGAGACGTGGTTCAGAAAACTCCGACTTCACAACTCAGACTTTTAAATTATTGATATTTTAGCATGTTTTTTTCCCTCTGACTCAGTAAAGCTACTTCTTTTAATTAAAAAAATATCTTACTTATTGTAGCCTAACAACCAGAGAGTAGAAGGAATGGTGTCCCCAAACGTTTGATAAGCAGTATAGTACTAAATCTGAAAATGAATAATGAAGAGGTAGACTGACCTCTCCACATCCAGGATGCGGTTGGTCTGCTTGTTGACCACGTGAATCAGCACATCCGTTTGTGCAAAGTTCACTCTGCCCTTTTTATCCACGTGGAACTGAGGGAGGATAATCAAAGGAGGAAGAGAGAGAGAGAGAGAGAGAGAGAGAGAGAGAGACTAATTCTCACAGATTGCTCATTTGATATGCAGTGAGATACATGATGCTTATTCAAACAGGCTTATGGTGCATGACACAACCACAAATACCTGTACATCGTCCATGTTCACTATGGCTCCTGTGATGTTTGACAGCAGGGTAATGAACTCTTCCTGGAAGAGCCAGACCCGTTCTGGTATCTCATTAATAATGAGCTTCACCCTCTGGTCATCCCGGAGAATGTAGATGCCAACTAGGGCCACATCACTGTGTCCAGCCAGGTCCCTTGCCAGCACTTCCACCACAAAATAGCCCGGGTCATACGCCGTGAACAGGTCAAATGTTCGGATTATACCATCTGTTTCACCTGGCCAAGGAGAATAGAATAGAATAGAATAGAATAGAATAGAGGTCCATGGAAACAGAACATATTAGAGGTTGATGGGAAAAAAGAATAAAATACGACAAAATAGAGGTTGATGAAGAATAAAATAGAATATAATAAAATAGAATAGAGTAGAGTTTAATGGAGAACAGAATACAATAAAACAAATTATGTCATATTTATGTAAAATAACATTTTTAAAAAATCATATGAGAATTCAAAGTGATTAGCACTGAAATCAGCTTCTGCATAAATAATGGTCACTGGAAAAATGTGTTCAACTAAAAATAAGGGTTTGTTGTCATTTACAGTGAATCATTAACCTGCTGTTTAAAAAAGCATCCTGAAAAAGTCTCAAGTCTGATTAATTCCAAGATCTTATTAGTGAAGCACTTAAGGTTAGTAACTGTAGGTTACAGCACCATCAGCAGATACATACCTATGATGAAGACATTGCCAATGTCCTCAGAATCGTTGGACAGCAGTTTGATGTAGCGGATGGACAGAATGTGATACAGAATGAGGCTGTTGTTGCCGATGTCATTATCGATGGCCTGAACCTGGATCAAATCAGAGCCCACCTTAGCATCTGCAGCCACACCTGCAGAAAGAAAGACCAAATACAGTGTGACAACATACAATACCAATAAATGCTCTGATGTCAACTTAGTCATTTATATTAATATATATGTTTACATGTATAATAGAGATAATAATTGCAATTCCACTGCCAAAGTAGTTCATTAAGAGTAGGCCTTAGATCACAAGGGACATAGGAATTCCTTCCATTACTACATATGTATCCTTTGGTCTCTTGACTTTGAAAAGATTATGATTCTTGTAGTCACACAGGTCTAAAAAATCTGATCTGGGTTACAAATCCAATTTGTGTCACTTTCAACCCTGTAATGTGAATTTAACGCTCACTCCCATACCTGCAGTATACTCCAGCTTGGTGAATCTCGGGGGCTGGTCATTGATGTCCTCCAGGTAGATCCTGACTTCTTGCAGCGTCGGGTCACGGCTGGGGTCAAGCGCCCGATTTCTCTGGGACCTCTGACCCCTTGGTGGGGACCAGTTGCGGTTGCTGGACGCCTTGACAATGATGGAATACACTGGAATTTCCTCGCGGTCCAGGTCCTTCTTCACCCGCAGAACTCCGGCCACGCTCAGGCCAAAGTTGCCTTCAGTGTCTCCCCCTAGAGACCACCAGCAGCATTAGAATATTGTGACATACAGGTATTTTTCTTTAGAAATAACTCTTTAAATAAGCACCCCCCGCCACCCCCCGCCCATGAAGGCAGATAAAAAAGAAAGACAGAAGTTCAAGTTCCTCACTCAGAGCGCAATACTACTGATGCAAGAGCAATTACGTCAATTACGGTCAGAAACATGTTGAAATATCCCTCTGATGAGCTTGTGAAATGGTACAGGACATTTTTGTGAAACACTTTTGGAATGTATGTTTTAGAGTGAGCACACTTTACAAGCAATTAACTTGATTCTCATTTGAAAGCACCTAAAATGCCTTCCCTCAGACAGCTATGAAGAGTAGATTCACAATTCTGACATAGCAGTACATAAAAACAATGATTATACTATAATACAAAAATACCACAATCACAATGCTATACTGTATTCTAGGAATACAGGAACTACATAGCACTTGCATAAACATTGCATTATATATGTCTAAAGCAATGCTTGAGTATTTATAAACAGCTTTTGCCCATAGTAGCAAAATGACACAACATGTTTTATGAAGTAAATGACACTGCGTTGACTTAATGTGCTCTAAACTTAAATGACTGACATTTGTTCTGTCTATAACACTGTTATGAAGCATCTTTCTCAAGTTGAACTAAAGCAAATGCCTATTAACACCATTTATCAGTTGTATGTATTTCTACCTGAGAAAAACTACAGTTTTTAGCAAGTCTTGTCAGCAGCCACACAGATCTATAATAGCTAGAATAACTCATCTGACATCTGATTTTCTTAACGAGGCCTTATACGCTCATTACTTGGGTATGATGCTTCTTTCAACAGTGTTTCAACATCTGATTTGAAGGTTACCTATATAGGGACTTCATAACACAAGCATTAAACAACACATTTATAAAGCAATATTTCAGCTTATGTCAGAATTTGCAAGATAAAACATAAAATATGCAATGCAACATAAAATGTTTTATGAGATAGCTAACATTGTACTAAACTAAAATGATGGACATTTGATCCATCTATAACACTGTTATGGAGCACTGTTCCCAAATAATATAACTTGCAAGGCAGAGGCCTAATTAAGAATGCCATATATCAGTTACATGAAAAATGCCTTCAAGCAAAAATGATATGTATGAGAATTATCACTTTATTTTGAGGGCTTCAAAATCTTGAACTATCATCAAAAACTGAAATATACCGTGTAAGTTCCTTTTCCCAAGAATGATGATTCATAACAGTATTATATACAGATAAACTGTACGTCATTCGAGTCTGAGCGTCATCATGTCGTTTATTTCATAACCCATCTTGTGTCCTCTTGTCAATTTGGATTTACATTGTTTATAAAGAGTAAAATATTGTTTTTCAATGTTATTGGTTGCTAATGCACATGTTTCTATGTAGGCAGCTTTCAAATAAAGATTATTTATGGAAAATATTTTGCAACTCAAATGCTGATCATCACAGTTTTCCTGTATAAGAGTATCCCTAGGGCTATTTAATGTTATCGGGAGGGCTGATTTGATGCTGTATTCCAACCTGCGATGAAGTAGTAGACAATAGCATTGGAGCCCTCATCTGCATCCACAGCTCCTGTAACATTCCCCACCACAGTGCCAGGAGGAGAGTGTTCTGGGACAGACAGAGACTGGAACAGCAGTCCACCTCTCTGAGACAGAGAGAGAGAGAGAGAGAGAGAGAGAGAGAGAGAGAGAGGGAGAGAGAGAGAGAGAGAGAGAGAAACAGTACACATCACTTTGCACATAGTATGTAATGCTGGAAAACAATCCACTATCAATATGTATCGTAACCAAGCTTAATAACAGGAGCATTGAGAAGTAAAGGAACCAACCGGTGGTTTGAGGAAGACAGGCTCGTTGTCGTCTATGTCAGACAGGGCCACCTGCAGAGGCTGGGTGGTCTCGTATGGGACAGGCTGGCCTAGGTCATACGCTACCACAATCAGCTACAGAGAATCATACAGATACTCAGCATTACTGTATGTCTGCCAGAGTTGTACCTAATACTGCAAAAAGTGGACAGTGAATCAGTATATCGCTGCTATCGAAACAAAACCTCATATCATCAAACTGATAACTTTACAGGAGAAGGAAAAAATATGCTTTACTTTCAATGTAAGTCAATGAAACCAGACTTCTTTCCAAGGCCTTTTGGGCTGTTTCTTTAGGTCCATTCATCATGAAATCTAAACACAATGTAAAGGGCAACAGGCATCTTCAAATTATAATAGAGGTTTTGTTCCGACAGCAGCGATGTGAAACTACTGACTAGACAGCATTGTCTCCTTTACTTAAAAAGACACACCAGCCAGCATGAAACATGTAATCATTGCTTCATCTGTTGTAAATGTGCCTACTCGCCTCCTAGAATGGGGCTGAAATACTTTCTAAAGCAAGATTTTCCGGTATAAAGACTTGGAAAACATCCTTCTGATGATGTATCTTGAGAAACTTTGGAAAAACTACAACTGCTTTGGGTACTGCTAGAAAGCTACTGTATAATAACAGTATAATAAAAAATAATAAAAAAATTAATTGATCAGTATTCCCAGGTACACAATATAGTGGCTACCCAGTGTATTTCAACACAGCAAAGCCATCATCCTGTTTGGCAAACTGCTTCTGATAATCTAGCAGCCTCAGAGAGGCCTCACTCACGCTGTACAGGGCCTGCTTCTCTCTGTCCAGTTTGACGGCTGTGGTGATGACGCCGGTCAGAGCGTCGATGTGGAAGTTTTCCCAGTCCCTGTTCCCTGCTCCGGTCTGCAGGAAGCTGTAGCGCACCTCACCATTCACACCCTCATCCTCATCTGTCGCAAACACCTCATACACCACCAGGCCGGGGGGCTGCTCCTGCAAACGCAACATTAAATGCAGAACTTAGGCCAATAATGACCTGTGAGCTTATTTCTCCTCCTCTAACATGCCCACTTTTTCATGGAAGTTACAAACAAAATATGTGAGTATAAACTTGTATTACTATGCTATTAAATGTATTTATTATTTCTTATTTAGATAAAATTATACATTGACTAACTTTTGGCAAACAAAAGGAAAGAGAAAAAAAGAACTTGATTTAAATATGTAATTTAATAATTTAACATAATTTCATCGATATATTACTTCAACTTTTTCCTTTAGTATACTCTCTTTGTAATATACTTTATTCGTGTGTAAATGCATCAGTGTAGACAGTGGTATCTACACCCGTGTACAAACATTTTGGGGGCAAGTAATCTACAGCACATTGCAATCACTCTTATCAAGAAAGACAGTGATATTATGTTTCAGAAGAAAAAAATACTAGCATTACTGCTCATTACCCACTGCGGTAATTGCTGTTAACTAGTTAAGTATGCTTCTATTTGAGAGCTGCATCTATTAAAGTTATACCACCATTAAAGAGCAAGGCATAAACCCCTGTTTAGCGCCTACCTGACATCATCTTTGTTGTTGTATTCCCAGGATGAGGCTCAGCCTCGCTGAAACAGCTACTTCAATACAACTATTATACACCTTAGTTTTCTGGCCATTGAATTATCCACAGTTTTCTCGCAAGCACTCGTCTGTCGACTTATATATCATCACTGTCATACAAAATCATCTCCACCGTATCTCCACTTTTCTCATTTTTTGTTTACTTTTTTGCATAATTTGAAAATTCCAATTGCTCTTTGCATTGTGCTAACATTTCATAATCAGTGAACCGACAGAAATGGTCCAAAATTACTTGTAAAAAGAGTCTTGTTACATTGATGTCTACTGCAAACTAAGAATGTGTTTTCCTTCTCCTTTCAAGTTACCATTTTGGACAAGGTTTTGTTCCGACAGCAACAATATGATACTTCAGACTGAATGTACTTCAGTGACAAAGACATTTACAGCATTGCAGAAATCTGGAAATAGCTGGATTTATCAAGAAATCCATCAATGGACCTCGCCATTTAAAAGCTGTATTTGTACAAGAGGGTTACAGTCACAGATTAGTTAAAGCAACATGCAACAGGCTTCAAAGTGGAAAGTTTGAAAGGTCAAGCCACAAAAAATGCATTAATGGTGATAAAAATTTGTGGTGTCAATAATTTAGCAGGTTAACACATTATCAAATCATCAACTTTGACACCACTAGATATAACACAATTAATTGAGCTTAATTTGACCAGTGACATTAACTAACAGGCTCAAAAAATTGTGAATTTTAATGTCAGGTTTCAGATAAATTCCACCATTTTTTTTAAATGTCCGTGCAATTAAATCATTCAAATGTGATGAGTCATTCAGAGTAGTTTGATGTGAAATATTCCATTCTCGAGAGGTCAGGATTGTCCACACTGGTGAAGACAGGAACCAGATGTCTGAAGAGTTTAATATCTATAAGAGCTCCATCACAGAAACCTACTACATGAACAGGGTTAGTAAGACACTGTTTTATGGTAGTTTTGAGATAAGATTCTGGCCTAAAAAGGAAATCTGGAAAGTGATTCATGGCAGAGAGGAACATGCACAGTGTTGTAAGGCTTCATAGCCTTGTTTTTTCAGATTCATTACTATTTTACCATTATCACACATCATACATAAAAATACACCTAGGTTCACTGGTGGTTTTGGGTAGTAAACAAAATGATTATATTTGCTCTGCAGACATGCAAATTCTGGTTCTTATCACCACCACTGTAAAGAGACTGTAGTCTACAGTGTAGCATTTCACATCGAACCACTCTGAAGGACCTTGTTCACATCTCAATGATTAAAATTTGCAGAAATTTTGGAAAATTGGTGGAATTCCCTTTATGAAAGAACTTTGCGTCATTGAGTTTAATTCGCCCTCACCCACACGCCAATCAGGAGCATTGTACTTGGACAAACAGCAGCGTTCCACTGCAAGCCATGGCTCGTTTTTGAAATGCGGAAAGTTGAAATGTGTGCGTGTAGTGACCAGACGAGGTGTAACCAACACCGCTGTGGAGAGCGGTGACTGTGCGAACAAAGAAAGAGTCATTTGTTGAGCATGGCAGGCTTGCTATGTTCCACATGTAGAGCTTTGTGAATTAAGTGTAATCTGTAACTCTGAGGCAGAGCCAGGAATTCCGCCTTTGATGATCACACACCGCACACACTCAAAGGCCCAGTGGCTGCAAGCTGGAAACACTTCCACTGGTACTGCAGCACACGCTGCCAGAATGCCTCTCGCTATCTCGCTCTGTGTGGGAGAACACCTGCGGTGGTGCCTGCTGTCTGAATCTACAGCCACAGGCAAGATTAAAAAAAAGGGCATCCCCAAAGAAAAAAGAAAATGTTTACATAAAACTCACTCAAGGTTTTGAAGTTGTATAGAATGTAAAGGAATCCTACAGCATTTTTCTACTGAACCTCTATCTACCACTACTAATTCAAAAATGATTAAAAGCTGAGAAAATATGACTCATAACAACCACGCAATAGACCACAGTATACATACATACACTCACCTCGAGGATGTGCATGATGGTGCCATTGGCCGGTCTAACAAAGACAGGTCTGTTGTCGTTCACGTCGATGACGGTGATTCGGAGGCTGGCGGTGCCCCAGAGTGGAGGCCGACCGTGATCTGTAGCCACTACAGTCAGATTAAACCTCTCAAAACTGTGCAGGAGACGCAATGAGCGAATCAAACCAGTGTCAGGATCCAGAGAGAATGCATCTGAAAACAAGAGAGAATCGTTTGATTGTTCTTTAAACTCCTTAAGCTTTCAAATCTCACATAACAACATTGAAAAAAGTGATGCACTGAATTTATCAGATTTTTTAAATGTGTTTAATTCTTTGAAATGTGTAAATTTAATGCATCACTTTTTCAGTGTACAGAACTTACATACAGTAACATACTGTGCAAAAGTCAGAAACTACTCTCATTTATGTAATTTCCAGTTAAATATTAAATAAATCAAGTCTCTGACTTTTGCACAGTACAGTACAGTACTGGAAACTGGGAATAAGAGCCCATTTCACACATGCATTTTTACCCAGCAGCTTAAAGGTAAAAGAGAGGGGGTTATTTGTGAGCATGAGCTGGAGTCCAAATCCATGTAAAGTTCTGGCAATCAATCAACACAAGACCTATTACTATACCTGGGAAATGACCAGAAGGGGCCACATAATAGCAGAAAATGCAGTGATTATATCCAGCAAAGCAGAACATTAGTAATGTGGGTCGTGTTTTGGACCCCCATGAGCGGATGAATCTGATGACTGTGAGCGCATTGAGAGAGTATTCAAAGAGAACTCAGTCAAAACTTGGTGAAGGACATGTGGGATGAAGGGATGTGAGCGAATTATCCACTATTGTTATCATATCTTCATCAGTATAACGTTGATTTTGCATTTGAGACCTAAACATCTGGACCTTCGTTCTGAGCCTGTGAATATGACATCAATACGTAGAGACATATGACGTAGTTCGAAATGCTCCCACAAAACTCAGCTCTGTCTTATCTAATTTCTTTCAGTTTTAACAAAAAAATCGTACATACTGCAGCTTTAACTACTAAATAATACGTCTGAAGATTATCCATAATAAGCCTGGAGATGAAGCGATGAAGATTAAAAATGTAGAGATCTATGATATGAATGTCTTTGCGTATGCGCTACCTGCCCCAGGCCCTTGCAGGCTGTATGTGAGCAGGGCGTTTTCCCCCTCGTCCAGGTCAGTGGCGGTCAGTGTTATCACAGATGTCCCGCTGGGCTCATTTTCAAACACATTGGTGCTGAACACAGGCTCGGAGAACCGCGGACGGAAATCATTCACATCTAGAACTGTCACCAAAACCTGACACAGAAATATAAGAACAAAGAAAAGGTTAAAGGTTATTCATTGGTTTGACAGGTGCTAGGGTGACTGAAAAAAACCTGGCATGTGAAATGGACCCTTTAAACTCCTAAAGGACTTGTTATTGGGTTCAGATCCTCACTCTCATAACAAATTTCTTACATTACAGCTGCACAATATGGACATAAAATACGATATTGGATTAAGCCATTGGATATAATGATGAAGAAATACAATTTTTAAAATAGTGCACTAATACTAATAACTGCTGACTTCGAAACTGCAATACAATTTCGTGCACTTTAATCACAAGTTATTTGACTGCTAATGGTGCCCCTTGTGAAAAATGTGTGGCCTACGGAACGTGAGTGAGTTCCATGAGGTGGTTCAGTCTAAAAACAGTGAGAATTCCCTAAAAAGTTTTTTCTATTATTGTTTGGAGTGAATTTGTATATATATTTTTACATCATAGGCCTACAAAGATTATGCAGATATTTTGACAGTAGCCATTACTACTTCATACATTTTACCATACAGTCTAGGCATTTTACACACAACAACTGAGAGTGAGAATAGTTATCACATTTTAAAGTATTTTTAAAAGTCGGGTTAGGAATAGAGTAGTTTCTGATCTGTGCAGGTGTTTTGTGATTGGCTGTTTAGACAAATGGCTAAGTTTCTTGTTAATCTCCATGCAGGACAGCAAGGTTCGAGCTAAATTACGTCACTTTGGTGCTAAGCGTGTCATGTGTTCATCCTGACAACTAATATCACAAAATTATACAAATATGATTTACTGTGCAGCACTACACTGTAAAAAAAAAAATCTGTAAAAATTGGATAAAGATTTCACAATAGTGGCAAAAATCTGTAAATGACTAGTCATTGTTAAGTTATTTCTTAGGAATACTGCCTTTTACTGTAATTTAATAGTTTCATTAGTTTATCTAGTTATTCAATATTTTACCACAATAATAACAATAACATCCATTAAAATAAATGCAAATGTCTGTGAAATAAAGACAATAATTTTCTTTTGTGAATTTACATTCGATTTCTGTAAATTAACAAGAGCAGTGTTAAAATACAGTATATGCATGGTTTATTTTCATGCATTAAATTTTCCAAAAATGGTTATGACCAATTGTGCCTTTCGCCCAATGACAGCTGGGATAGGCTCTAGCACCCCACCGCAACCCAGAAGGATAAGCAGTTTAGATGATGTGTGTGGTTATGACCATTGAATTTTACAGTACTTAGACAATGAAAATGTTTCTTTACACTGCAGCTCAGACAGAAGATTCAGAATGGTTGCCAAATAATATACAGTAGTTACTCAAAAATAGGCTTTAAACAGTTTGGCAACCAACGAACTTCCCAAATGTCCCCCTTACCACCTTCCTTTATGACATACTGTTATCTATAAACATGGACAAAAGTATGTCACACAACTAAAAACAGTAGCAGCAGCAGCTTCAAGTCTAAATTTAGTTTGTTTTTATAGACAGTGTGTCATACAGTGTAAGAAACTGCATAAGCAGGTCTATGTGAGAGTACTTAACAAGTCAAATGTGCTTTAAGGCATGTTTTTGCATTGAGTTTGCACAGTGCTAATGTGGTGGCTATAAGTTTTCATTGCTTGTTAGCTCAGGCCTCATGGCTCTGGTACAAAACTAAACAAGCAAACTTCAGACACAAATCACTTCTTGGCTGATTGACTACATTTAGGGTAATGGGAAGTTATGCAAATGTAGGCCAATGATCCCTGGAGTAAAGCGGCTAAGTTTCAGTTAAAGCCAGAATGCGAACTAGGTAAACCCCATGCACTCTTTGTTAATTTTATCCCAGCCAGGCTGTTCACATGATTTTTTCATTTCTAGGGGGGTTTCAATTCCGCTCCTCATTTGTGGGTCCAATGCACGGGTGAGTATGTTGTAAAATTCAGCTGATATTCTACAAACATCCTCTCTCTGAAATGCAGCAGGAAACGAAGACTTGTCAAGCTGAACTCCTCCTCGACTGTTTTTAGTCACTCTTGTAGAAAATCACTCCTTATGTTGGCCTCCAAAAATGACTGATAGTCTTGGTAAAGATGAGCTACTAAACTATGGCTTCAAATATTACAAATAAATACCAACAAGTATTTTGAGATGTTTTATTCAACATTTTGAATATTCATTAAATAATAAATAATATATTGTAATTTTCTATCTACAGTAGTTTTCTGTGAAGTTTTCCTCCTAGATATTTGATCACCACTTTTCAAATATGAAGTACTCTTTATATTAATATTGTCCATTTTATTCTTCCATTCTTTACCTCCATTCTTTTATTCAAGCTATTTTTAACCTCTTAAATGCTCAAGGCCTGCCAGCAGGTCCAAAGTTTAATTACACATTTCTCTAACCTAAGAACAGCTCAACCAGTTTACACTGAAGTTCCTGTAGTTACTGAATAAACGCCTGGGATTTTAAGGGGTTGATGTTAAACAGCTTTCTCAGTCATTTTAAAATGATCCACATCTCTTTTTGTCATTCAGGGCAAATTTTACAAAATTTATTTTTTCTAAAATCGTTTTCTTCCTGTAAAGAAAGCTATGCTATGAAGTTGTTGAATACTTTCAGAAATCTTGTTACGTTATACCACGACAGTATTCTATTAGGATTGTTTTATACATTGTGGAGGAGAAGGCATGGCAGAGCGTCACATGCAGGACGGAGAGCCAGACTTGTCGAACCAGCGGGCTAAGTAGCTGATAATGTGCACCTGTGCCTCGTTTCTGCCAGCCTACTTATAGCCATCTCTTGTCTCAGTAGGTGGCAGAGCCCAGAGAAAAGGAGACTAGTGGAGACGCGAGAGCAGAGCAGAGCAGAGCTAAGAGAAAGCAAAACGAAGCAAAGCAAATCAAAGCATATACTGAGCCCAGCGAGTGTGCTCTTTAATTTTGCATGTGGGCTGAAAAGCTGAGCGATTTTTGTGTTGCGTGTGAATAAACGAAAGCTCTCTGTCTCCACACCTGTTCCCGGTGTCCTCTCACCTCCCAGCCTCGCAAATACGCTATATACATGTCTCTATAACAACACTGGTCTGACATAAATAAAAAAAAAATCTGTGGACCTCGTTTACCAGTATCATCCTGAACTTTTTCTTAAATATGCTCTTGAGAAAGGTCCTAAGAAAACGTTTACATCAGATTCATGACATGTTCTTAAACCACAGAACTGTTCACACCTTTGAGCTCTTGAGTGTGTGTAGATTCTGTTCTTACCTAAGAACAAATCCCAATAAGAAAACACTGGTGAATGTCAGAATCTTTGTGAAAACTGCGAACGTGGTTTACAAGAAGAAATTTCTTCCTAAAAACGGTTGGTAAGTGAGGCCCATTGACTTTTGACAGGCAGTGTATGAAAGAAATGTGAGCCTTGGGTAAAATTATACAAATAATAATAATAAAAAACACAATTCTCAAAAACACGTTAAAGTTACTGGCACTCAGACTGGCCTGCCCTGCGGTCAGTAAGCTGGTCCAGTAAAGTACCTGAACTGAATTTTCTCTGCGGTTGCTGGGGCTGCCCCCGGGGTTGTCCCGGGCGACGGCGGTGAGTGTGTAGTGATCTTTAGTCTCTCTGTCCAGTGGAGACAGGATGTAGATATCACCCTGTGAGGAAGACGAGGATGATGAGGATGAAGGCATGACTGGGGACTGCTATAACACTGCAGATTTGACTGTTTCATAACAGAGTTAAATGTGGTAGTTAAAAAGCACACATAAACACACAGACATCATCATCACTGTCTTGTGTGTGTGTACCGTCTAGTTTTGCAGGAAAAAAACCTTCACATTGTGGCCATTGTTTTAATCATTGTGACATCAACACTAATAAAAAATCTCTGACCCAAACCTGTTGATACAGAATGTAAATCACATGAAAATGTAGTTCATAGTGTAATTAATCATCACTAATTGTCATTATATTTACAGATTTTGCACAATGACTGTAATAACTTGCTGTCAAAGGGTTAATAGCTGTAAATGAATTCACAAATTTCTGCGTAATTCAATCATTGAGATGTAAACAAAATCATAGAAAGCAGATTGATGTGAAATGGTACATTGTAGAGAAACTTAATGACTCAGATTTCTTTACTGAATTGAGTCAGAATTGTTCACAGTAGTGTTGATAGGAACCAGACGTCCAAAGACTGTAATGCTTCTAAAAGATATTTCACAGAAATGGTTACAAACGCACTGCCTAATGCCTGAAACAGTGACTTATCAGATTCTGACATAAGATTATGGCCTAAAACATTTTCGTGGTGAAGTGCTACATGCAGGGCGCTGTTAGGAAAATATAACATAAATGAAACCAATTTTTATTCAAATTTGCCACTATAGTACCATAATCAGCATTACAAAAACTCAGAAGATGTGTAGGTTCATTCTGGGTAGCAAATGAATATAATAAATAGTAAATAGTTAGTAAATAACTAATAATATATATTTGTGCTGTAGACATTGCGGCCTAACTTATTTTTCTAAATTTCTGAATTATGAAGCTATAAAATTTAGAAAAAAATGGTGCAATACTCTTTTAACACATGCACATAGACACACACACACTGACCGTAGAAGGGGTGATTCCAAACTTGCCCTCTCCATCCACCAGTGAGTACTCAATAACTGCGAAGAGTCCTGAGTCTGAATCTGTGGCACTCACTCGCACAATAATGGTGCCCAAAGCCACGTCCTCAAACACTGGCCTCTACACACACACACACACACACACACACACACACACACACACATAAATCAGCATCAGCTCTGAGACAATGCTTTTTACGATTATTTCTTTAAACAGTTCTCTGTAGCCCTAAATCAGTCTTGAGCAGACATACAACAATGATTTGGATAAACAGAGAATTGCACAAGGTTGCCAAGTCCTCCCCTAAAAAGATGCAATAAGTTAATAATGAGTAGTGACTTGATCACCAAGGTAAGGAGTCCTGTCCAGTGAGTACTGTCTCGTCTGAGTTTATGTACCTGATATGAGGGCTGTGTGAAGATGGGGTTGTTGTCGTTGACATCGACAATACGCAGGTAAACAGGAAGTTCAGAGAACCTTGGCGGGCTGCCCTGATCCTGAGTGCGAACCGTGAAGTTCAACCACTGCACCTGCTCATAATCCACCGTCCGATTGGCTATGATTTTACCTTGGAGAGGGAACAACGTGCATTAGAGAAAAAGCTTTGCTTTCTATGTGCAAAGTATCTTAGACTAGACTAAGTTGCAGTGCCAATGATGAATCACCAATGGAAATTTTAGTTTACACCAAAACATACTTCACTCAAGCATGCAAACGCAAAGGTTTTGAGCTACGCAAACATTGTTTCCCATGTCATTGCATTCTAAAATGTGTTACGACGCAATTCATAACACAAAGCAAGCTCAAGCTACATTCTGAGTTACAGCCAAGCCTGACTAAAACGTCTTGTACCGCCAGCATTTTTTTTTATGGTCATCTATCATAGCAGACAAGCAGTTGGATGAGCCTCTCACAAAAACAATTTGCTTGCATAAACAAGTATCGCCTCCTTATTCCTAAAGGACAAATAAAGCAGCTCACACTCCTCTACTGTCCACATGTTAAGCTGATGGAATAACAGTAGATTCCTTTCTGATTTGTCCTCTATTGACCCCCCCTTGAATAGTGAGTGTTTAAACTGCCACAGTAACATAAGAATACACACTGAGCCTGTACAGAAGAAGTGTGTGTTTGCAATGCGTTAGCCAGGCACTGCCATATGCATTAGTGTATTTGCGTTGAGTTTCTGGCCTTAATCTGGTTCTGGGAAAGTGACTTATAGTCTTAAGTACAGTTACACTCATGTATACGCCACAAAAACTAGTATTTTAGTTCTGATAACCCACAATTAAGGGATGTTGTTGGGCATGTTGGGCGTGAAGCAAAGCAAAACTAAAATCCTCTTAATCTTAGTTAACTAAAGTGGCTCGCTGTTTTTATAAAAAACAATGGTAACATAGAATGTGATAACATACACGAATATTCAATATTCAAATGCAAAAAGTAGCTATTTCTGTTGTTTAATGTACTCTTCTTCATTAAATAACATGATTTTTTGGTGTTGTATTTATTTGAAGAATTAGATCCAACAAAGTTGAAAATGTGCATTTTAATTTTTTTGCAACTACTTTTAAAAACAAGAAAAAAAAACAGGAACAGTATTATATTTCAAAGTTATCAGCAGTATATTTAAAAGTTATGATCATGTGTGAGAATCTTAGTGGCTTCCTGTGGTTTGCATTAAATAAATCTATAAATTAATGAGTCAGCAGTAAGTGAGTTTTTTTTACCATCACAGAGGACGGTTACTGTGGTAACTTGGTTGTTTACTGTCACAAGACAAAGGCGTAGTATAACTTCATTCTTGATTCAGTATTGTTTTCTTAGTTATTTTACACTCATCTGTAGCTCTGTGTGCTATTCTGGACACAGGTCTATACAAATTAATTAAAACCTGTGAAGTTGAACAAGATGAGCATATTAAGGTCATTTTATATCCTTGTCTGCAAGCAAACTGGTTCCACATTATTGAAAACAGCTATTCCAAACTTTAGAACTGCAGTGTATTCTATGGTAAGCGTATGGTGTTGCTTGTTGTACTGTAGGTGTGTGGCTGTGTGTCAAGTTTTTACCTGTAGACGGGTCCTCTAGTCGGACATAGCCTCCTCTGGGCAGATGCAGAAGCTCATAGAAGATCTGTCCATTAGGGCCTTTGTCTGGATCTACAGCAGACACTGAGAGTAAAGTGGTGCCAGGCTGAGCTCCTTCCAGAATACTCTCAGAGAAATTAGTGACACCGAAAGGCCGAAAGCGGGGTGCGTTATCATTCACGTCCAGCACGCTGATGGTCAGCCTGGCTGTCAGGAGAGGAGGGGAGGGGCAGGGAAGGGAGTTAGTCAGTAGGGAGGAGAGATTAGAAAATAAAGAGAAAGAAGTATCAGTGGGAAAAGAGGAAAAGAGAGACAACATATAAATCACTGGGGGAAAAAACTTGAGAGGGCTTGTTTTTCAGAATTTCTATTAATCCATACATGATGAAGGTTCACCCAATGTAAAAGGCAACAATTATATTGTTACATTATTAGCCAATAAATAAAATGCATTGATTTTTTAGAAGATCTTTCTTAGGATATTAGATATCCACTAGATAAACCACTTGCACAAGATATAAGATGAAAGTCAAAGGAAATTAAGTGAGAAAACAAGAGTTGCCAAAACTGGAGTTCAAAAAATGATACAAATACAGAGAAAATGGGAATCCTAACACCAGGCAAGACATGACAGACCACCAAAACTGTCCCCATTGATAAACAGCAACTAAAGCTTTCATCTTTGAGACAGAGGAGAAAATCGAGCTGCTTCAGATCTGAAAAAAATCCACAAAACCTTTTTGTCCATCCTTCCACTGTGAGAAGACAACTCAGCACTATGAGACCGAAAAGATGTGTAGCTGTCAAGAAGCTCTTACTGACAAAGGAGATTTGCAAATCAACTAAAGAAACTTCTGGTGTTCTTAGATGGACTGATCACCGCAGAGTCCAGACCTCAACACCATAGGATGTGTTTGGGATTACTTGGATCATGAAAAGGACAAAATACACCAACTTCAAAGACTGAACTTTGGAGGTGTGGAAAAATATCCCTGCAGATTTCTTTGAAAAACTGAAAGCAAGTCTTCTGAAAAGAATAAAAGGTGCAAAGAGTGGAAATTACTGTAAAAAAAATACTGTTCCGGGTTTTCTTTGGTGATTCAGAAAAATGAATAACTAAACGTATTTAATAGTCATTTAGACTGGACATTAAATACTTAAAGGATGTTCTCTGACTTTTGCACAGTACTGCATACGAGAAAGCAGTGACACAACGTTATAATGCACAGAACAGCTCTGAGAGATACAGACAGGAAGAGAAACAGAGAATGAGATATAAACAGACAGTTCATACTTACCATTGGGAACACTGACCGACATGTCGATGACATCACTGGCATTATCATGCACTGACACTATGATCTCAAAAGTAGCAACCAGCTCTCTGTTCAAAGGGTTTCGCACAAAGACAGCACCTGAGGACATACATACAACAAGTTTAGGAATAAATGCCGCAGTTCAAGTTGGACTAACTGTTTAAAATAATATAAAACCAATCTGTCCACACAAAATGTCCAAAAGTGTCCAGACAACCCTCTAGTTAGTGAATTCATCTACTTTAAGCTGCACCTATTACTGACACAGGTGACACAACTGCACACTCGGAATAGGAAGGCATTGCCGATAGAATGGGACACTCTGGAGTAGCAGCATGTGAGCCTGAGGTCACTATGCCCAATGCCAAGTGGTGGGTGGAGGGGTAAAAAGCCCCCCAGTATTGGGCTGGGGAGCAGTGGAACTGCATTCTCTGGAGTAATGGAGTTCCATTCAATACCTTTTAGATGAATTAGAGTAATCCAGAACTGATATCTTACATCAGTACCTGACCTCACTAATGCTCTTGTGGCTGAATGCAATCAAATCCTCACAGCAATGTTCCAATATCTAGTGTAAAACCTTTCTGCAAGAAGAGAGCAGTTACTCCAGCAAAGAAGGGACAAACTCTGGAGTAGGTGATGAGAAGACCAGATATAAGAAATGAGTAGGTGTCTACAAACTTTGGGACAGTGTATATAAACTCTAATGTGATGCTAGTTTTCAGCTTTATAGGGTTCAAGTAATTTGCAGGAAGCTAGAAAACATGCCCTAAAATTAATTAATATTTAATAATTCCTAATAAGAAAGGTGACCAAATCTCAAGGCTGAATGCTGAGAAGGAATTTCTAAAAATAGATCATTTATACAGTACATAATTTAGTATTTTATAAGTTCTAGTCATTCCCAAAAAAACTCAGAGTAATAAATAAAATATCCTTTCAATCCACATTATAAGCTATTATTAACCCCTTAACAATCCAGGTTTATTTCATACAAAAGCTTATTATTCAGTAACTATAGGGACTTTAATGCAAACTAATGGAGCTATTTTTAGCTTATAGAAGTGTGTAATAAAGCCTTGGGCCAGCCAGTGGACCCATGGCTTGTTAAGGGGCTAAATAAAAAAACAGAAGTTATGAATATGACAAGTGAAAAAAAGGTTAATGTAGACTATTACTGCTCCTTTCTATTCCTTTAGCAGTCAGTCAAGTAAAAATGACAGTTTTCACAAAAATAAAATATACTGACTTACTTTTTTGGCAATAACTGTGCAAATATGATATATATAGTTAATGTGATACTTATTCACTTTATCTGTGCAGCAGTCTCATCACCTCTGCCTGAGGCTCTACACCTGTTCAGGCTCACCCGTGTGAAAGTCGATCCCAAATGACTCCTGCAGTCCACTGACTGGGTTATTCCCATCGTCCTTGGCTTCCACAGAGATGATGTAATACTCCAGACGAGGTCGGAGGTCAGGGTCCTCTGCGGTGAGGGTGGCCACAACCACCCCGGGCGGCGTAGACTCGTTCACACTGATGGTCTGGACGGGCTGCAGAAAGCGCGGCCGAGAGTCGTTTACGTCATCCAGGACCACCGTCAGCGTGGCTGTGCCTGATAGTGGGGGTGTGCCCCGGTCAGTCGCCGCAACGACCAGCCGGTAGGACGCGCGTTCCTCACGATCTAGCGTGGCGTTTCCCACCAGAACAGCACCAGATAGGGGGTCCACTACGAAGCGGTCCTGAGCGCCGCTCTCCAGGCGGTACTGCAGCCACCCATTAGAGCCAGCGTCTGCATCTGATGCCGACAGCTGGGTCACTACAACACCTGAGACAAAAACATATACACACATTGAGCTGTATGGGTCTGTATGTGGGTCCACATTTCAGCTCTCTAAAGAAAGTGCAGATTTTTACCGCTTACCAAGCTGTTTTGTTACACAATTCTATAACCTAAGAATAGCTCCATTAGTTTGCATTGAAGACCATGTAGTTAATGAATAATAGGCCTCAGTATGTAATAAACCTGGGATTTTAAGGGGTTAAACTTTCAATCAATACCACATTTGTGTTTGAACATAGATGAAATAGAAGGTTATTGTTGAGTACAGTCATGAAAACCCATCCTTATCCACATTTTACCATGTTTTCAAACATGTTAATACAGAATCAAATGTAAATACAATAATAATAACACAATAATAACTTCTAAGAGTGACAGCATATATGTCTTTATTTCTTAGACACAGAGCTCATCTCTCTTGTCATATTTCTCTCTGTCCATCTGTCTTCTTCTCTCTCTCTCACTCTCTCTCTCACCTGTAGGGCTGTTTTCAGGCAAGCGTACTGTGAAGCTTGAGGGGTTGAACACCGGAGGGTTGTCGTTTCTGTCCAGGATGGTGATGGTGAGAGGAACGCTGCTGTTTAGCCCCCCTACATCCTCCCCAACCAGAAACAACTCCACCCGCGGGTCAGAGAACGCCTCTCTGTCCAACACAGCACCCTCACGCACTGATACCACAGCTACCACACAGAGAGACAGACAGAGAAAGAGAGACATAGAGATAAAAGAGAGAGAGTTTGATTTTCAGTAATAGTAATTAAAAATAGTAATAAAAAATCTTGCAAACATGAAAGTTGAAAAAAGCAGTGATTAATGGCTGATGGTCATAACTGACCTGTGGTGGAGTTGATGGTGAAAAGGTCCACTCTGTTTCCCAGCAGGCCATATTTCACCACAGCATTAACTCCAACATCCCTGTCCACAGCCAGGACAGGCCCGTTCAGTATCAACACAGTGGTGCCTGTAGGGTGATACAAATAAAGAGTGTGAGGGTGAAGACAGATATACATGCTAATATATTTGAAATGATAATGCTATTACAGACAAAATTCTTTGCTTGCAGTCTTAGAATGCTTTATATGATGATGCTTACCAGCAGCCAATTTAGAGACTCTACAGTCAAAGAGGACCTACAGCAAAGCTCTGACAGTGCCAATACCTTAACTATTTCATAATGAACATTAGTGATCAGTTCACAGAAACTGGAGCACTAAAATATATGATTAGCTATTATAGCTACTTACCTCGGTAATAGATAATGTTACAAACACACATAGTCACAAACACATAGTAACATCTTAATACATAGTTAACATAATCTCTACTGACAGACATAAGTCAATAACAAAGTACTACTACTGCTCCTACTCCTAATAATAATATTAATCTTAATAATGATAACAATAACAAATTGTAGGTAAGGCTTTATTTAAAGACTGCCTACATAGTGACTTTATGACACACAAATAAGCATTGAAAAAAGGTATTTAATGTATTTATTTAAATACTTGAGAATTTATGAATGGCTTATGCCACTTTTGACAAGACAACATGTATTTACAAAGTAAATTACACTGAATTGACATAAGAGCCCTTAACCTAAAGTGACAGACCCTTACACTTGCTGTAGTGTACTGAAATCTGTATGAAAGACCCTGTCATTTAAACATTACAGTGCTTTTTTTAAGTAAATGGCATGTCGATGCATCGGCTTTTCGATAATCAATGCAGTGTTAAGAGTGGCACCTGTGGGGGAGTTCTCACTGATCTCCCCTCTGTAGCTGGAGGACGTAAAGATGGGCCTGTTGTCATTCACATCCAGAATGGTGACCACCAGCACATCTGAGTCCTGCAAAGGCAAGGAGGTATTGGGAAATGAAGGGAGATGATCATAGACCTGCAACTGAGGAAGTGTGTTCTAGTTCTGATAGGAATGTAGACAATCAAGATAATCTAGGAGGTCCCAAGACTCTGGGAAGTGTGAGGAAGTATGGTGTACACATAGTTCTAATGTTTATTAAATACTTTGTTATACAGGATAGGGGCAAGATACGCCTCACATACAATGCAGAAGTTTTGGTACCGTCCTACTGACAACACAAAAGTGCAGTACTATAATGTGAAGGGTAAGATATTCCCTTACTGGCCACTTTATTAGAAACACCTACCTTGTGGCTCCCTCACTGGTGGACAGTTAGCCACTGTAGCCCATCTGTTGATTCACAGTGTGTGTTAGCCATCCCCTAGCCTATGTTTAATTTCTGACCAATGTGCTTTATACAATCTCACCAGAACCACACACACTCCCATGTGCCGAGATTGGCCCACTATCCAAATAATATCAGGTCAACAATGACAAATGATGAGAATGACAACTGATGACAGATGGGCTACAGTGTGTAATTGTACACCTACATAGTGAACCTATAGGTGGACATTGAATGCAGTTTGGTGTAATGGGGGTATTGTATTGCGTGGTACAGTTGGAGTAGTTACCCTGCGGGCAATGCGGGGGTTCTCTGGATTGTCTTTGACTGTGATAGTCAGTGTGTATTCAGCAACTCTCTCTCTGTCCAACGGCCTGTTCACCTGAACCACTCCTGACTGAGAGAGAAACAAAGACAGAAAAAAACATTAACCCCTTGAACTATAGCCTTATTTTTACAGTAACTATTATAAACGACTATGAAACTTACACGTATGTCTGGTAGTAACGAGTGAGAAACTAAGCTAGCCAGGCTCTGCCCACAAATACTTTTGTACCAACTGTCATTACATTGGACAAGCTTTACAGAGCATCTGCAAATATTTTATGAGAACTTTAATTTTTGTCAATACACTTACATTTGCATTTTCAACTTCAAACACCACATGCAAAGAGTTACACTGTTAAAAAAGCTAGATGTAGGCCCAATCCCATTTCACCCCTTGCCCCTACGACATAGCCCTAGCCCTATGTTTTGCACGTTGAACACCTAGGGGTAGGGTGTACCAATTTTTGTTGAGATAGAGGGGTAGGGCGAAGTGTCAGGGCTACATGGCCCTCCAAATGGAATTTTTTCAGAGGCACACTCCAGAGTGTTATGAGAAAAAAAAGAAAAAACGGAAAAAAGTCATATGATGCCATAAATGTAACTAAAGCCCAACAGGGAGGCTGCTGAACTTTACCCTCCTCTGCTGTCACTGCAGACTGGCAGGGTCGCCTACAGAGCAGCGCTGGTAGCTGTTAATGAAGTAATGTTCTTTTTTATTTGAGGGTCCCATTTCATAGAGAAAGATTTCAACCACCACATAACATAACTCAGTTTCAGGGGACAAGGTGACACTCGAAAACAAGGGGCAGGGATAAAAATAAGATTGGGCTTTAGATTTCTGTTGTGTGGTAGATGAACATTAGCATGGTAGCAAACCTATTGATTTGCCTTTAGCAACACCAACATAGCTTGACGACAATTTACTGAAAACTCCAACGCTACCATGTCTCTTGAGACAGAATGCTCTGTAAAGAACATCCAACCACAACAGCTGTTATGAAAGAATGCGTTTGTGGGCAGAGCCTAGATACGTCAATCAGCATATGGGCTAATGCAGGGGTTAACTGCAGTTTCACATAATAACTAAGCCGAATGAAACCTCCCTCCCTCCCCTCTCACAGTTTCGTTGATGTAGAAGGCTCCGTCCGGGTTGCCTGCTGTGATGTTGTAGGTGAGGAGAGCATTACGGCCGCTGTCTGCGTCCTGCGCTTGGACGCGGGCGATGGACGTGTGTACAGATGCTCCCTCACTTACACTGGTGTTCAAGGGCAAGTTGAGAAGCACAGGGTCGTTATCGTTAATGTCCAACACCTGAACCCCCACCATCACCTGATACAAAATACAGCGACAGTCAGGACATACAAACATATCTGAAATGATCTTATAATCGCTACACTGGAAAATCCGGGGCACTATATAAAACAATACTATAGAGAGCAAAATTTCATATGATAATGTTACAACAGTAATCATGTCACTGTATATGACACAGTGCACTGTGGGTCTTCTGTGTCCACTAGGGTACATAGATTGGATGTTATCTATTGTGGTACTTTGTGGAACTATGTATGGGATTCTTTTGGACACAATTACAAAATAGTAGACTCCCTTCATAGAGCACTTTATAGTGAATATGGCATAATATTACATAATATATAAGCTGCAGAACGGTGGACCACAAATATGTGCAAGCAGGTTGCTGCCCATGACATATGCTCACAATATCTGCCGAATCTGATATAAAAAAACGTATTTCCTTTTTTAAATGAAATCACATTTTCCAAGAAAAAAAAAAATTAATAATGAAATATAAAAAATTCAGTAGCTATTAAAAAATCTACACATGCATGTAAGCTAGTCTACTTAGCTATAGTTTGGGGGTATGTGTGTACCGTGCTGCTCCGTGATGGTGTTCCCAGGTCTCTAGCAGTGATGGTGATGTTGTAATAGGCCGTAGTCTCTCTATCCAGTTCAACATCTCTTCTCACTCTCAGCTCCCCCTCCACAGGAGACACAATGAACTCATCTAAACCACACAGCACAGAGAGGGAAAAAACGGGTCAAGAAACAGTCACTTTTTCCAATTTTTTTCCAATCCAACACTACTGCAAAAACGCTTTGAAATGACTTTGTACATCAGTTCCATTTAAATATATTATGTCAACACAACTATCGCTGAAGGTATATAATAAAAGACAATGATTGGGTGAATGTAATATACACTATACATCCAGACACCTGCTTATCCAACACTGCTTCTGAAATCAAGGGTATTAATAGTGATTATTTAGTCCCCTCTTTGCTGCAGTAACAGCCTCTATTCTTCTGGGAACACTAGAGGTTGGAACTAGCAGCATGCAGTATACCGGTTCATCCTGTATACTGGTTGAAATTCTTCTTAAGTAGGAGTTTCATCATAACCGCTGTACTTGTAAGCCACAAACAAGCACAGACAATGCGATTTACAAACACTGCAAACCACACTACCCTTAGCCTGTTCGTCTGAGTGTCTGAGTCACGGATGTTTTAGTCATGTTTCAAATAAAAAGGAAAACACAGCAGACCCTCGATCATCTCCCACTGTTTAGTGCATTATATCTGAAGTAGTCCACTTAGTTTTCAAGACAGTAGATACTAAGGAATGTGTTTAGCTAACATGGACACCAGAGCGATTGTCTCGATTCTGTTTCCTATCGTACCGCCTGAGAAGCTGACTAACTCAGCTGCATCAAACGTGGGACCTGTGCATGGAACAAGCCATGGATCAGTTGGTACAAATTCCAGCAGTGTCAAATGGTCTGAGACACAAGTGTAAACGACGCACATGTGAGAAATCACTTGGGAAATTAAACAAATGTGAAGTTGGCTTTGTCTTTGAATTACCCACTCCACCTAAAATGGTTCAGCAGTTACATTCAGGGGCCAGTGCAGTTGCCAGAATGTAAATGCTGCTCCATTTAAGGTGGAATGAAAAGTTCGAACAATAAGCTGCCGAATAAAAAGCCAAATTTTTCAAAAAGGAAACAACATTTGGCACTGTTTTTGCCAGGCCTGCAGGTCTAGTATTACATAGGGATATTGACACAAATTTATCTATATATTGTTCAGTTTTATTTTTTACTATTTTGCACTACAAAAATATTTCAGGTTTACTTTGTTAAAAATGTTTATAATTAAAAAGTGAAGGGCCATCCCAGAATGAAAAGTCAGTGTTAACCTATAAAAACTGGCTTACTAAAGCATCTAACATGGTTTTATATATACCACCTTGATTGCATTCAGCCTTAAGAGCTGAACATCAGCCACCGATGTTGGATGATTAGTTCTGGATCACAAATGCCACTCCAACTCATCCCAAAAGTACTGAATGAGGTGCCATCACTCTAGAGAAAGCAGTTTGACTGGGCTTTATAGCCATCTAGCTGATGCTTGGCACTTCATGTGTGGCTCCTATATCAGCAATTGGTGCACCTTACTAGCTAAATTCACTATTTAGGATGGGTTTCTGGATATTTTTTGGAAAAATTAGTGTATTTTATTCATGTGGAACTAATGCACATATTTAAAAACTCAGATTAACTGCTCTCACTGTTTGGATCTCCAGCTGTGATGCTGTACTCCACTTTTCCATTGAGGCCCGAGTCCTCATCACTAGCTTTAACGGTGCTGACCCGGGGTCCAGGCTGACCCTCAGTGATCTCAAACGGACCCTCAAAGGGCCGGGGGAACTGCGGGGTCACATCATTCACATCTATCACGTTCACCAGCACCTACAGGACACAAGAGCAGGGCAAAGATTATCATAAACCAACAACAGAGAAATATTTTGCTGCTGTCAAATTAAAACCTTCTTTACTTCCATGTTGTTAACACCATTTGAAAACACCAGTTGCCCTTTATGTTAGGTCAGCCTTTCATGACAAATGGACCAATAGAAATTGGCCAAAACTTCTTGGGCCTGAGCCTGGTGATAGTTAGCTGAGTTACCACGATAACAGCCCCTAATGATGGTTAAAATAATAAAAACACATTGTTCATTTATTATTTCATGCAAGTCACAGCAAGACACTGGTATTCTCATATGTGAGCATAGGTGAACTTTTAACCATGTTTGGTGATGTGCTATCCTACTTTAACACCACATTTATTACAACTAACATAGCTGAGATTGTTCTAGAAACGTGGCTGTTGAGCTGTGCTGGTTGAACATATTCAGGGGTGGGGCATAGTGTACTGTTGCAGCAGGCAGATATTACGCTTATAGTAAAAAACTGCTGTAACACTTTACTGTAGGTCAGGTTCATAAGGCTACATGACAATTACATAAGCCCTTCATGACCACTGAAATAAACCTACATAAACATCTATAAATACTTCCAATAGGTGTCATTTGTCATAGAGGTATATATCACAGTGATACAATGCTGATGTGACATAGCTTAAATTCTAGAAATGCCAAAATGAATCTCATTTTATCAAAAGGCCACAAAAATGCTTACTTTTGTTGAACTAGATTTGTCATATAAGCATTATGCCACTCTGACATACCCTGAGCTTCAAAGTCATTTCAGCCCAGAAAGTGTCATTTGCCAGCTTTGATGTCAAGTTGACATAACATCTACATCAAGTGACACTGTTTTTTTTGGGGGTTTTTTTGACATTAGGCTGTGTTGTTATGCTTTCTGTCATAAAGAAGCCTATTGCCTATTGGAGTAAGCCTTTATAAATGTTAATGTAGGTTTAAGTCAGTTGTCATGATGGGCTCAGGTAGGCGTTATGAACACTGCCTCAATGTCTTATGAACACTGCTCTAGAGAAAAGTGTTACCAAAGCTGCCTATTAAATGGTGTACATTTTGGGACAGTATCTGTTTTCGGTAACACTTTATTTGAAGGCTACTTTCATAAGAATGCCATAACACACGCTTAAGCATTGAATATTGATTTCTAAAGCAATACTTGAGTATTTATAAACAGCCAATGCCAATAATTTCAAGATACCATAAACTGAAGTAAATTACAATATTTTTGATGAGTTTTGTACTTTAACTAGTGAGTTTTATACTTTAACTAATGTAAAACTATGTACAACTGATATAAACTCCTAAACTAGATCTTCCTTCTAAGTTCCATTATACGAAAATGATGCTTCATAACAGTGTTATAAATGGAACAAATGTCAATCACTTTAGTTTAAGGTCCCTGATGTCAATCTAGTGTCATTTACTTCATAGAACATCTGACGTCATCTGGGGTTACGAGCATGAGCTGGTCATAAATACTCAGATATTGCTACATAAATATCTTATTCAGTGCTTATGCATGCAGACTAAGCAGCCTAAGCAGCCATAGACACATATCTTACATAAAATACATCCTACATTCTCACACGAAGCTTGTTGAAACAAACAGAGAGATTCTAAGCTTTCAGCCGATGCCACATTTGTGTATATAAGACGGTAAATTCTATTAAGTATTGCATGTATACTGTACATTGGTACTCACAGTGGCACTAGATGTCAGTCTGAGTTGTGGTATTGGGCATTGGTCAGTAGCAGTGATGACCAGTGTGTAGCGTCCACTGCTAATCTCAAAGTCCAACTCCTTCATCACCACTATCCGGCCCTGTTGATGGGACACACATACATGCATGCTCAATATTATACATAATTTACATACAATATTACAAACTGCTTTCAGCTGAGATGGATTACTCTACCGTAGTAGAACCAATGCTGAATGTTTCAGCCAGGTTGCCGAGGGTGATGGCATAGCGCAGAGTGCCGTTGAGTCCCTCATCAGGGTCAGTGGCTGTAACAGTGGCAATGGTGGACCCTACAGTGTTTGGACCCTCAGTGAGAACAGTCACGTACTCCCTCGCAGCGAAGACAGGGGCATTGTCATTCTCATCTATTATCCGCACCCACACCATGGTGGAGGTCTGCAGGAAAACAGAAAAAAATAAATTAAAAATTCAACACTTTCCTTTCTTGGACAGGTCATTATAATTGCCTTACAAAAGTATTACGTACTGAAATGAAATGTCCTTAACACTAAAAAGACATTTTAAAAAACTTAACTTAAAGCCAGTAATAAAGCTCTATAAAGTATTATACTATATCACTACATTAGTGTTTACACTGCTCTTATGAATATAGTGTGTTATGTAACCTGACTTTATGAGGTCATATACATAAATACTCTTGCTTTATAACGTGTTATGCATGTAATTATAACTACCTAAGAGCAATTATACAAGCTTATGCTATTTATCATAAGGTATAAATAACTTTATAATGCATCATGAACATGAGATTCATATAAAGTGTTATTCACTGTAATGAAATCTGACTTTATAAAATAATACACTCTGGTTTCATTTTAAGTATTATGTAAAACAAAATCGTACCATTATAGGGTATCATAAATGCTATTTAATGCCTTAAAAATGCATTTATAAGGCATTATGAATACAGGATTCATAGAAAGTTTTATTTTATTAAGTTACACACCCTGGTTTTATGAAGCATTATGTAATACAAACTTATGCCAGGCATTATAAGATTTTATGAATGCCATGTAATGTCTTAAATAAGCATTTATAAAGCATTATGAACACAGGATTCATAGAAAGTGTTATTCACTGTTATGAAACCTGACATTATAAAGTTATACACTCTTGTTTTATGAAGTGTTATGCATGTAACTGTAATGAATTAATATAAGCTTATGTCAGGCATTATTATGTATTATGTATGCAATATAATGCCTTAAAATTGCATTTATAAAGCATTATGAATACAAGATTCACAGTAAATGTCACCAGTAATTCATTCAAAATTACTCCATGCTTGTGTTATCGTTGGCTGTTACTGTGACTACTAAGGATTAAATTTGAGTAAAAACTGAGCTCAAAAACCATCAGATTACAAAAATCTACTCAAGCACAAAATTTTAACTAAGACAAATAACACGTTCTATTCCTACTCAGAAGAACTGCAGCGTCTCTCTTGTCCTATAATTACATGACAGCTGTTTTGTAAGACTAATTAGCAATCTGTGTTGCTAAGAAAAGGCTGACCGCTCTCATGACGCATGAAAAACCCAGAAGCGTAGTCGAGTGTGCCAAAAAAGTCCCCTGCGGACCACCTGGTGTAAGCAGGCTTGACAGCTTAAAGTTTAGTGCAGGGTTTCCCCAGTGACACAGTTAGATCAATTCTCACAGGAGGGTCCCGTATTAATCATCTTTATAGTAACATTGACACAGCTTTAGGAGAAGCGTACAGACAACACACTCTTAAAAATAAAGGAGCCTAAAACCGTTCTTTGGAATGATGTCATAGAAGAACCACTTTTGGTTCCCTAAAGAACATCTCAATGGATGGCTCTTTAACGAACCATTTGTGTAAGTGAAATGAGTTTAAACTACAGTACTGTGCAAAAGTCAGAGACCCACTCAGAATAGTCATTAAGTACAACATCACAATTTGTTTTTTGTGAAATAATTTTTTAAAATATTTAAGTTGGAATAATCATATTTTTATACAAGCAACATATACATCTCTGCTACAAACGGACACTTGAACTAGCACCTACCGTTTATGTACAATTACACTGAAAATGACAGGAAGCACAATGTCACAATTTACCCCATTGGTGGGTTAATTGTAACAGACAGAAGGTCAGTTTAACACCTGCTAGAAAAGTCTGATGAATTCGTGAAAACAAAGTCAATTCAATATGATTCTATGTTGTAAGAAACAAATCTATCTTCCGATCATACTGCATTATATATTATCTCTCTATAAGACAAACTGACAGCTCAACCGATAGGTACACATACATCACATTATATATGAAAACTGATATTAGACTGTGTGTCAAACAATGACAGATTTATTGTTTGTCCAGTGAAGGACAGCAAATAAAAACATCAGCAAAATATGGAACACTGTTTCTGAATAACTACAGGTTTTACAGCTGTTGATGTCAATTTCATTAATGTACGTATTTAAAACCAAAATACTAACATCTGAAAGATACTAATGAAGTAGAAGAAAATCCCTGTTTTCAGATGTTTTCTCTTTTTCTATATCTGTGTAAACATATAGAACAAAAAGACAAAATTGACTTTATTAGTCTTTGTTTACTAAAGGTGGCTTAGGTGTAACACCATGTAACAACTAACCCTGCAGTACGGAGGCCGTACGTAAGCCTAACTAGATCACTGCCTGTATACTTGTCACCTGCCTCAAAACAGTGCTGCACTGTAGTTAAAGTGATTAAAGTAATATAAGGTTGGACTTTGTGATTTACACAAACGGCTCAGTAACCAAAAAAAACTTGTGTTGAAAAAAATGACTTACATGTCCTGAAAACTCTTTGGCACAGATCTCTTTAAAACGCTGATGAATCGCTCTGAATTTTGGTGGGAAATGTGGTAATGTGGCCAGAAGCTCACGCCACTTGACTTTCTTTAACAACGCAAAAAGTTTGTGTTAATTTGTGCCCCGAGTCGGGTTGTTCCCCACGCTCCTCTATTTCTGAAGAGATCAAAAAATGATTAAAAGATACAGAGAAAATGGAACTCTGAATAACCGTGCTAGACGTGCTAGACCTTTAGCAAAGGCAGTGGTTCTATACAGAACCATAAACACTCAAAAAAACACATTTGCATGCTTAAATGGTTCTTTATTAAAGACAGTGGTTCTATATTGAACTATGAACCCTTAAATGGTTCTTTGCATGGTGAAATCGTTCTTCAGATTGATGAAAAATGTATTGTACATTTTTTAAATGGGTTCTATAATAGCACCAAAAAGGGTTCTTCTATTGTCGCAAGCTTGACATTGTAATAATAGCAGAACACTTTTTGGTGCAGTACAGAACCACATACAACACATTCTCTGTCAACCTGAAGAACAATTTCACCATGTAAAGATCCCTTTAAGGGTTCATAGTTCTATATAGAACCAATGTCTTTAATGAAGAACCATTGAAGATCTTTTTTAAGAGTGCACCAATCCTGTCCTTATCAGATAAACAAGCTTTCATCTTTGAGAGAGAGATACTGACAAAATCCACAGGACTTCCTGTCCATCCTTCCACTGTGAGAAGACAACTCAGCGCTATGGGTCTGAAAGGATGTGTAGATGTGAAGCCCTTACTGAGAACATCTGCACTAGAACACCAAAGCTGGACATCTGAAATGAGAAGCTTTTATGGACTGATGAGTCTAAAGTTTTAATTGAGATTACTGAAGAAAATACAACCAACTTCGAAGACTGAACTTTGGAGATGTAGGAAAATATCCCTATAGATTTCCTTAAAAAAACTGAAAAGTTTCCCACAAAGAATGAAAACTGTTATTTTGTAACTTTGTACTTTTGTACTTTTGTACTTTCTGTTCCTTGTTGCACCTTGTTCCTGGAGGAACGTAATTTCACTCCACTGTGTACATAGATGGAAAGACAATAAACGCCTCTTGACTTAATGTGATCTTTAGCCTGTTGCGACTCCTCAGGAGATTTTGATTTTTAGGTAAAAATAAAATTATCCTCCTTAGCAGTAAAATAAAGCTCTGCTAATTGTTCAACACAGTTTTAACAATAAACGGTTTAATCACTGCAGTTAATGTATAACTGCTAATTCACCCTTTAACTCTGAAGGTTGGCGTTTAGACTGCTTGTCACCATAGCAATGCAGACAACAATCATGCCTAGCTAGTAGCTAACAAAAGGCAAAGAGAAAGATTTAAGACGAACATCAATCATTTGGAGAAGAATGGACGTCTTTGCTTTTATAATCACTCAGATGGTTTCCTGATACATTTAATCTGCAACGAGAAACTGTCAAACACTAAAAAGTCACAAAGCTGAAGTCAGATTCTCGTTTAAATTCTGCCGTTCCACCTTAAATGATGCAGCAGTTACATTCTGGCGGCTCAGGCACCATTTAAAGTGGAACAGGAAAACAAACAAGACGCTGGCAAATGAGAAGCGACTTCAGCCTTGTAAAAAGTCGAATGTTGAGAGACATTTTACAAGAAACTGTTCTTCTTTTGCAAAAAAGTTTCCTGCTGGAGATGTGAGAAAAGCTGCTATAACTGAGCTAAAGCTTAAAGCAGAGCAACGTAAGTCTGGGTTTTCATTATATTACATTTTTTTTAGCATACACAAGTACATTAGCACGTACTGAGACATATTTACAGCCAGGAAGGTAAAATGGACATAAAGTGTTGTGGCTCCCAAGGTGGTTTGATTTTTGTTGAAAGGACTCATCAGCAAATAAGCTTTTAAATGTGTTTGTAAAAACATGAGAGCGATTACATCAAAAGGTCTCTCTCTCACTCTCGGTCTCTCTCTCACACACACACACAGAAACACTGACAGTTTTGACCACCCAAACTATCATTTGCTTGTATAATCACACTTTTATTTTCATACTGATTTACATTCTGTTTATTACCACCGTGATCTTTGACTTATCTGTAGCAGCAGTTCTGGACATTTTTACATAGCTGACCGCTCACGGCACCGACTGATCTCTGCTTACGATATTGATTGAAGCTTAGAAAAGTTCCTCCCGTTATAAAGACTGATTTACAGGTTTACAGGTTGTGGTTAGCAGTGTCAGACAGGTGTTGCAGTACATTTGAATAGCATTAGCATTTCCTGAATGTGTCATTGTGTATGTGTTCCCGTTTTGCCTGTTGGATGTGCGCTGATGTTATTTGCTCTCTCAGGTCCCAGCTGCAGGCAGTTTAAGCACAGACTATTGAACTCAGACAAGAACTGAAACTGTCTGACCACGCAGGAATTAGCCGTTTAATACAGTGAGGGGAAATCTCAGAAGCACATACAGCGTTAGTGAGGTACAACTCAGGGACTCTACCTAAAAATACCCTCAGTGTGCACCTATTAATATAATTAAAGTTCTGAATAACTCACTCACTATACTCATGGCTCACTTTCACTTACTCTACTGTCATTCAAATCTCTGAATGAGCGAGTTTTACTGTAAAGAGACTGAGAGAGCAGAGGGGTGTGTCTGAGTGCGTGCGTGGGTGTTTTTGATTGTTTGTGGGGACCAAATGTGCCCACGATGATAAAAAAAAACATGCAAATTTTGTCAGTGTGTAAAAAAAGTTGGATGGTCTCCATGAGGACATGTGAAACATGCACTGTCTGTGATGTAGAGGCATTAAACACTACAGATGTCTGGTTCCTATCACCACCACTGTATTAAAAAAATGCCTCAATCCTATGGCAAAATTTTAAGGCAGCCTGATCTTTTTGTAGGGATGGAAACTCCACCGATTTTCCAAAATTTCTATATAATAAATGGTTAAGATGCAAAGTCTTTCAGAGCAGTTTGGTTTGAAATTCTTCATTCTAGAGAAAAGTACAGAGTCAGAAATGTTCACAGTTGTGGTGATAGGAACCAGACATCCACCTCTAAAAGCTGGTTATGAATACACTGTCTGATGACTGAGACATTCTTTTACAGTAGCTTTGTGATTAAATTTTGGTCTAAAACATATTTTAATCATCAATTTCTTTCATGGTGGAGGGATACAATGCAGCATGTTTTAAGGCAAAATTGTTTTTTTCAGATTAACCACAACCATCATCAGTTTTACACAGAAAAACTCAGAAGACGTGCGGGTTCACTGGTGGTTTTGGATAATAAATAAAATGTCTATATTTGTGTTGTAGACATTGTGACTCCTGGTTCCTATCACCACCACTGTAAAGACATCAGAGTCAGTAAATCTCTCTACAGACGAACCATTTCACAACAAATCACTGAATAACTTTTTTTTTTACATCTCAACCACTAAATTATTCAGACATTTTGAAATATCGGTGGAATTTTGCTTTGAGTTAAAACTAATTTTAGTACAGTGTCCCACTGTGAACAATTCTGACTTGGCAAGTTTACAAGTCTAGGAAAGACCCTTCCTGAGATAGGAGTGCTTGGCGCGGTGCACAGAACACGTGAAAATAATAATAAAAACGTCAAAAAGCTAAAGAGAAAAGGTTACGGTTAGTATAAACCTTCAGATGCAGAGACAGCGCTGTTCAGAAATTTAGAAATGACCATTAAAAAGATGTGGGCATCAGTGAGTGAGAGAGAGAGAGAGAGAGAGAGAGAGAGAGAGAGAGAGAGAGAGAGAGAGAGAGACAGAGACTGAGAAAAAGAGAGAGAGAGAGACAGAGACTGAGAAAAAGAGATAGAGAGAAAAGAGGGAGAAAGAGTGTGGGAGAGTGAAAGACAGAAGAAAAAAAACAGAGAGAAAAGAGGGAGAAAGACAGAGAAAAAGAGAGAAAAACAAGAAAAAAGAAGAGAGAAGGAAACAGAAAAAGACAGAAAGAGAGAGAAGAAAAAAGAGGTAGAGTGTGTGTATGAGTGTGTGTGAGACAGAGAGAGAAAAAAACAAAAAAGAGAAGAAAAAATTTAAAACAGAAAGGAGAGAAAAAACTTAAAGAGACATAGAGGGAGGAAAAGAGAGAAAACAGAGTGAGAAAGGGAAAAGAAAAGAGAGAGATAAAAGAAAAAGAGAGATAAAGAAAAGAGGGTGAGAGAGAGAGAAGAAAAGAAAAAAACGAGTGAGAGAAATAGATAGGGAAAACAGGGAGAAAGAGAAAAACAGAAGAAAAAGAAAAAGATAGAAAAAGAGCAATTGAAAGAAAAAAGAGAGAAAGAGATAAATAGAGTGTGTGAGAGAGAGATAAAAGAAAAGAGGGAGAAAGACAGAGAGAAACAGAGAAAAACAGAAGAAAATGAGAGAGAAAGAAAGAGACAGAAAAGGAGATGGAGAGAGAAAAGAAAAGAGAGAGAGAGAGAGAGCATGAGAGAGAGAGAGAGAGAGAGAGAGAGAGAGAGAGGTGGCGGGGGGGAGTTGAAAAGAGGGCTATCTCCTGTCTCGAGGCGTAGTCAAGAGTCAGTATCGAGTTGCGCTGCTCACTGACTCACTGACAGAGCGAAGCTGGTGCTCAGACTGCGAGTCAGACAGATTCTGTCCTTCAGCCTTTAAGCCTCGGCAGAATTTAACTCGCTTAACTGTCGTCAGAAGTGAAGTAAGAACCCGCGGAGCAGAAGCAGGACTAGTGAGTGCCATTTAAAGCTGAAGACAGAAGCGGGTCCCGGCACCACAGCGGGTCTACACGGACATTAGCGATGGATTTAAGTGCAGCTGTGTGGCTCTTCTGCTCTCTTTTTATGGCCGCTCGAGGTGAGTCAAGTCCCAACACGGCATTTCTGTTCCCCCAGAACGAGTTTGGCTTTCCATTCGCCGGCCAATTGTTCGAATTGTCCCGTTCCACCTTAAATGGTGCAGCAGTTACCGCCAGGCGCCTGAATGTAACTGCTGCACCATTTAAGGTGGAACGGGACAATTCGAACAAGTAGCTGGTGAATAAGAAGCTTTGTTTTCCTAACTCTGCTGAGCGCTGCTGGGGCGTGTGTGAACCTGCAGTGAACTCCTGTCCTCGTCCTCGCTATCAAGGCTGTTGCCACGTTTATCCAAGGACGCGTTGCCTAATATTGCATTTTATTTACTTAATCGCGTTCAGTCAGGGTTGTTTTCTCTATGCGACCTGATATCAACCTTAATATCCACCTTAATTACAGCTCAGAACTTAATCATGCATTGGACGTTTATTTATCGAAAATATTATTCATATTCATATGCCAGTCATTTCGTTCATAAACTGTTTACACGGTCGATAAAAGCTCTTTCTTTTCTCTGCGAAGTAGTTTCTGTGAGACTTATAAAACTTCGAGGCATCCGTGACTTTAATTTCCTGTTGTTTGGCAGAGTTGGAGCTCAACTGAGGGCGTGTCCTTAACTATTTTTCTAATTATTATGTATGTATGCTGCCACACCTCCGTTAGAAGCCCCACCCCTTTAAACATCTGGCGCACGTCTCTCCATCTAGCTGCAGTTATTGATTGGGAAGTTCGATTCAGTTTACTGAACCGATTCGACTTCAGACGAATCGAACGATTCATTTATTTAAATGTTGAGCCAGCTTTATTCGTACATCTTCAAGATTTGATTCAGCGAGTCAGTCTGATATTGCTTCAAAAGAATCAAACGATTCATTTATTTAAAAGTAGAGCAAGCTTTATTCTCACATCTTCAAGATTCGATTCAGTAGTCAGTGTGATGTTGCTTCAAAAGAATCGAACGATTCATTTCTTTAATAGTTGAGCCAGCTTTATTCTCATATCTTCCAGCTCAGTTCAGCGAGTCAGTCTGATATTGCGACTTTTACTCATGAATGGAGTCAGAATAGACAATAACAGAAAAGGGAAGCCTTTTTCTCACTGAGAGGAAATCTCAGCAGGGTTGCATTTATCATGCTAGAATGTGGGATTTAATGAGTCTGAGATTATTATTTGAAGCTAGAGGTCTTCAGCCAGCAGAAACCACTGGCATTGATGCTACTAAATGCTCTAAATGCTTGATTTGCTTACAACTTGTGAATCAGTTTGAGCAGTGGGCTGAAAAGATTCGGTTTGGCTGCTTAAATATGTTAAAAAGAGGCAAATAACAGAGTATCTGTTAAATATGAAGACTTGAAACCAAAGATCATGTTAAACAAATGGCAATCCAGAAGAACATCAAGTAGCACAACAGTCGACACTTTAAGTGCGTTCTTTCTAAATCAGCAAAAGCAAATACTGTAATAAGGCTATTACATTTTAAAGGTGTGGAAAACTGAAAAAAAAAAACAAAACAAAAAACAAAACAATGGCTTATTCAGAGTCTGTGACACATGTGCACCATATTACTAACACACTGCCATAATGATCTAAGACACTGAACACAGTGCTATATGAACTGATATCCCAAAATACATGAGCTCATTCTGTCAGGCATTCTTTCATCCATCATTGTTGAAACTTGAGAATCTGAATAGCTATAATTCATCTCTCAGTGAGTTTCTAGTTTGCTGCTACCTTTTGATGAGCGGACGGCAATGTACTGGCTACTGGTCATCTCTGTCTTGCATCTCTCTGTGATGGTTCACTGGACAGCGCAGCTACGCAAACACCGGATTCAACCTTACCAGCACACTCCTCTCTCACAAGCTGCTCATAGCATGCATGACTTGAGGTATCTTGAAATAATATACGCACTGATAAAAGTGAAGCACTGAATTTAAATTCCACATGAAGAGAAAAATTACATGAGCACTATTTTGTTCAGTTCTCTTTCTGACAGGACTTGTGTCGATGTAGTGAAAGTATCACAGGGAATGAAGGTCTTGAATGATCACTGCTTGAGCAGAAGCAGCGTTTGATTAGATAAGGCTGATTTGGGGCTGAGGCGGCTTTAATGAGCAAAGGAGAATTGATTCGGATTGATGCGGATATGGCAGTGGGGTGCCTCCTTGGGACCCAGCTGGGTTTGCTAGTCCCAGACAGCAGACGCTGACTTCCTTACCTTTCCTAGAGTTAGAGAGGACCCTGAGAACGGCTGGCATTGATTCTTCCATCCATTTCCCTTGAAAATATTGGAGGGGATATGAATGTAATTTAAAGGGTGCTCCCAACTGTGTATGTGAGTGAGAAACAGTATGTTAAACACGAGATCGATCTACACTTCCTCGGTTTATCTCGATGAATGTCTGTGTTTTGCCACTGTGAGGTGCTCTATTTAATTTTTAAGGCAGCCAGGCCCTGAGGGGACACCATCTGTGTCATCTCTAGCAAAGCAAACTTGATTCTTTTCAGCTGTTAAAAGCCAGTCTATGAACCCTGGCCCAGCCGGAAGCTAGATATTCAATACTGTCTCTGAGTCCGGGCGCATAGCAAGATACATCTAGCACAGAATTAGTTTGTTGGTGACAACAGCACTGTTTTTTCGTGATTTTCAAAGCGGAAATGACATGACAATCATTCTAGTTCTCCTCACTTGTTAACTAAGGCTCGCTAATTTATCTAGAACAATCATGCTAATTTCTCTTACTTCTAAACTGCAGCTAGCAAATTTATTTATAAAAAGAATGCTAGTTCCCCTTACCTGTAAACCATAGCTAGCAAATTTAAAACAAGCATGCTAGTTTCCTTAACTTGTAAACCATAGCTAGCAAATTTATAACAAGCATGCTAGTTTCCTTAACTTGTAAACCATAGCTAGCAAATTTATAACAAGCATGCTAGTTTCCTTGTAAACCATAGCTAGCAAATTTATAACAAGCATGCTAGTTTCCTTAACTTGTAAACCATAGCTAGCAAATTTATAACAAGCATGCTAGTTTCCTTAACTTGTAAACCATAGCTAGCAAATTTATAACAAGCATGCTAGTTTCCTTGTAAACCATAGCTAGCAAATTTATAACAAGCATGCTAGTTTCCTTAACTTGTAAACCATAGCTAGCAAATTTATAACAAGCATGCTAGTTTGCTTTATTTGTAAACCACAGCTAGCAAATTTATTTATAACAAGAAAGCTAGTTCTCCTGACTTGCAAACTGCAGCTAGCAAACATGTTTATAATAATAGTTCCCTTTATTTCTAAACCACAACTAGCTAATGTAACAATTAAGCTAGTTCCCCTTACTTGTAAACTATTCATCCATCCATCATCTAAACCACTTATCCTTCTGGGTCGCAGTGGGGTGCTGGAGCCTATCCCAGCTGTCATTGGGCGGAAGGCAGGATACACCCTGGACAGGTCGCCAGTCCTGAGGAAATCCACGCAGACACGGGGAGAACAAGCAAACTCCACACAGAAATGACCCTGGCCGCCCAGCCGGGAATCGAACCCAGGCCATTCTTGCTGTGAGGCGACAGTGCTACCCACTGCGCCACCGTGCCGCCCTACTTGTAAACTAAAGCTAGCTAATTTACAAAAATCATGCAAATTCCCTTTACATGAGAACTGATGGTATCTAATTGACAGTTAGTAATTAGTCATTAGCTGCTTAAAGTCTAGTGCCCCTGACCTGAGATTGGTCAGCAGCACCACCTATCCAACAGCATGGCTACTATAAGACCATAACTGTTTGTTATACCCGCAATGTTTTGCCAGTCTTATAGATCACATTACCAGATGCTATTACAGTTTTTATTTCTCATATTCAAAAGCTGACCTTGAAGCAGAAGACAGTGATTTTTAATTACAGATATTAGCAACAAGACACACACAGTCTGATGACATTAGAATAAGACAAGGACATATTTTATAGGGAGGTTGGTAAAAGGTGGGTGTTGAGATGTTGCTTCAGGATGACATTCCTGACCTCCAGGGACTGTAAATCTAAATGAAGATAAGTACCGAGACACACCGAGAGAAAGAATGCCAGTGTATGTGGTTACAGGGGAAAAGTTATGAGCAATAGGAAAGGAAGGTCTGAAAGGGGTGAAACTAAAATGCGCTGCTGCGAGGCGACCCCTTTATCTGATACATAACAAAAGAGCCATGACTGCAGATCTTTGAGCGTCATAGCCACCATCTCACTCACAGACCAGTGACGGACGTATCTGCATGTGGGCTATTCTTATTGCTTCCCTATTTTTGCCAAAATGCATCATAACTGGAGTAAAGCAGAAGTGGAACCAGAATTCAGAGTAAACAGAACTTTTCGCTTCACAATAACAAAGAATTCTGTGTGGAGTATCAGAAAGAGGAACAGTCTGAAATTGTGTTAGAAGACAGAGATTTTAGAATTGTTCTAGCCAGTAGACCCCTCCTATGCTCCTATTAACACCTTTTAAGGAAACTGCTAATCGAAAAGAAGTGATGGGGAAGTGATAGAGGTAAGACACTTAAGCCTATGAGAGAGCGAGTCGAGTAGTGCACTTGCATGGATTTCTCCACTTAAGTATTGCTTTTAAAGAGAGATTTTAACGCCTCAAACTCTAAGGGCCTGTATATGGGTTCAGTACGCTAACAGGCGTATAACCAAATATAAATAACTTGGTGGGACCAATGATTTGTGTTTTAGGCACCTGAAAGTCATTATTTCATCCTAAATGAACAGGATATGACAACATAGTGTGACAGTAGTAAATATTACCAGTACAGTTTCCTGCAGGGCACAAATTAACCTCTAAACAGATCAATAGCAGTGGAACTACTCTTACACTTTCTCTCTGTCACATGCTCAAGGTAAATTTCATTTCCTTGTTATACCCCTATGTTGTGGCTAACCCCAAGGCTACATTTACAGCAGCTAAATGACTCTTGAAAGCTTTCTTGATTGCTGCTGTGTGCAAGCT